GGGGGGGGGGGATAATAGGGCGATATTCCCAGGACGCTGGCAACCAGAGAGGCTGCAGACGGCTGAACGGCAAATAGATATTTAATAAAAGGCGCAACATTATTTTATGCGGTCCCTTTATCTGTTCCCTCCTCTCTACTTACGTGTTTCATTTATATGCACTTCATTTCACCAAAGAACAACGAAATTGCTGGAATAAACAAGTTCAAGGTTGTCACATCAAAGTTCAAACCATGGCATACGCCAGGTGTATCGTGAGCCATGAGGCAACCTTACCATCAACACTGGCTCTCCAATTCTCACATACCAAATACGCCAAACTGTACTCCATGTCCTTGAATAAGAGAATTCAAGACACAGATAGTTGCACCTTCATCTACGACCAAAACAAGACTATCAAGATGATCTTTACCATCTCGTGGACCAACGAAGGCGATGACTTCATCTTCCAAAATGAGCCGGACGCCAAATTTTGGGAGCGAGTTGTTCGCCTATGCAGAACCGTATTGCCTCTGCAGAAGTGCATCATAACAGAGCTAGAGGGAACAGTGTTTAGAGAGATGCTTGAAATTTCTGACCAAGAGTGGTCGGAAACTTGGCGTGCTGCGATTCTTGCGCCCATGCCAGAGAATACTCCCCAGAACCAACCTCATGTGAGTACCACTACCGTTGTACAGGAGGGGGCTAGGATAAGGAGGAGTGTTGCTCGGTTTGGCTCTCGGTTTAGCATACGAGTCCGATTTCCGAGGTTTTCGAGGAAGAAGAAGAAGAAGAAGGGACAGAATGAAGAGGTGGCAAATGAAGCTACTCCTGCTGCTTGAATTTTATAAAGAATGGCGTTACATCTTTCAAAGTTTATGTATCATATACATGTGTGACCTTTCTATCTATGATTTGACCTTGAACACAAGACCGGTCTTGGCCATCCGAGATGCCACTGCCATAAGAGCACCTAGAAATATTGAAGAGCCAGCAAACATCTGAGGTCCAAGGTAACTACCGTTACCAGCTTTGATCAGCTCACCACAGATAAAAGGGCCAGTCAGATTTGCAATACTGACAATACCCAGTATCATTCCAACTCTTGTCCCAGTCTTTCTTGGATCAGGTGCCATTTGTGTTGCGACAGCTGGAAACAGAGCTTGCAATGCTGCAGCAATGAAACCGTATATTACAGCGAACACATAAAGGCCGACTGCAGTCTCTATAGTCGCCCAACAGTATACCAACAGACTAGAAGCTATGCTCAGGGGGATGAGTATGTTGAGGGGTCCTGTCCACTTATCGGCGACAATGTTTGGCATGATACGGCCAAATATCCCAACGCCGTTTAGTATCATCAGTAGATAGATGGGCTCGGAGATGCCCGCTTGATCGCGAGCAAAGGTTCCGAGATAGAAGAAGGCAAAGTAGAGACCCCAGAAGTTGAGAAACATGCTCATGGTAAAGAAGATGAAGGGCAGTTCCTTAAAAGCTGTGATATCGATCCATGGACCACTGGGATGAGGTGGTAGTCGAGGTTTGAGCCATAAAAGGCAGGGGATATATGTAGCAAGCATGATGAAGCCCATGCTTCTGAGAGTCCAGGGGAAGCCTACATTATCGTGGAAGATGAGCCAGTTAATCAAGACTGGATAAACTAAGCCACCAACAGCTGCACCAGCGGCCGCCAGTCCAACAGCAAAAGCCCTATACTTCTTGAAGTACTGTGACAAAACAGCTAGAGCCGGACAGAATGTAAACCCGTTACCTATCCCGAGGCATACAGCTTGAGCGAGGAATATCTGCCAGAACGTCGTGCATAACGAAGTCATGAAGAGTCCAAGAACCTGTAAGAAGACACCGAGTGGGAAGACGATCCGAAAGTAACCGACATCCGTCAGTCTACCAGCTATTACTCCTACTGAGAATAGAAAGAAGACTTGGACACTCCCTATCCAGGATATGGTGGACTGATCTTCGCCGAGAGTTTGGGTGTAGTATTGTTGGAAGATTCCGAAGCCGTTTGCCACGCCCCAGGTGTTGAAGAATACGATGTGGGCTAGAAGAGCTTGCAGCCAAGCATTAAATCCTCCGTCTGGTGGTTCATCGTGAGCCGGTGTCTTTTCCGGTGGGATCTGTTGGGTTTGGTTTTCGATATCAGCCAGTGTCTCGGCGCCGGAGGCAGAGTCTCTATCTTGGTTGAGTAACATTGGAATACGGTCCAATACAAGAAGTTCGAAGCTAACAGCCAAAGTGATACTGATTTGGAAGTTTAAGAATAAAAGTACTGGGATAAGTTTATTACGGTTAAGATAGGTTTAGTTACCATCCTCCAACTACGTCAAGCTTCAAGTCAATTACACCGATATTACCGATATCCCCGCGATAACCGACATACCCGTTCGGCCCGTAAGAACCGACCCTCGCAACTTCACTTCACCTGCATTCATCCCCTTACACATCACAATCCTTTCATTCCCATTCCAATATCAAACATGTCCACTCTTCAAGGCCGTAAGCGCTCAAGGCTTGCCTGTGAAACATGTCGGGATTTAAAACGGAAATGCGACGGAGCTCAGCCCTGCGGAGCCTGTGTCCGTTTTGAGTACGACTGCACCTACAAGACATCTTCCAACAAGAAGAGGAAGACTCATGAGGCTACTCTTCTTCCTTCACCTCCTGTTCACACTGAGAAGGACTCTAGACCTTCGAGGAGTGATCACGCTACGTCGCCAAGGCATTTACAGTCGTTGGAGGCGAATTCTGGGGCTGCGTTTCTTAGAAGGTTGGCGTTGAGGTTGGATCCTAAGAACGCGCCGCGGATGCACACTTTCTCTTGGAACGCGTTCCTTGGAGCGCGGAAGTCTTCGCACGTTCCTGTTTCGAGACCGATCACAGACTTACTGTCGAAAGAAGACATGGAGAGCTTGAGTGCTGTCTACTTTCAAAAGATGGACCCAATCTATGGTTTTGTTGATCGTGATGATATCTCACAGACCATACAAGGGAGATGGGCTGGTTATGTATACGATCAGTCACAAGACTCTATCCTCTGCGGTATAGCAGCTATCGGGTGCTTATTCTCACAAGTTGAGCCTCCACCAGTGGAGCTTGACTTGATAGAAACAGCAAGATTCATCCTCGAGCAGAAGATGTCCGATGACCCATCTGCTGCTAGTGTCACAGGTTGGCTACTTCGAGTCGTATATCTGAGAATAGCTGGAACACCCCACACAGCATGGATGGCTAGTTCAATTCTTATGCACATGCTCGAAGCAGCTGGCCTGCATTGTGAACCATCCCAAGAATCAGTCCTTCCAGTAACAGAAGAAAAGGTCGATGCCGAGCTTCGGAGAAGGCTCTTTGCTGTCGCCGAGCACCTCAACATATGGATTTCATTTGACATGGGTCGTTCCAGAACTATACTATGCAACTCAACACTCGAGATGCCATGTTCAAGAGAAGGAGACCATACCCATGAGCTCATGGAGTTACTACCCTACTCAACAGAGCTTGATCCGAATAAGACGCAAGACGTTTCCGAGCTTGAGGCCTCGCTGTCAACTGTCTTAAGCAGGACTCATTCTGTTCCGCCATCGATTATGGCACAGACAAACCTCGCATTATGTCTCTGCCGTCGACTTCAATCTATGAACACGACGTTCTCAGGAAAGGTTCTTGACCAGATCCTCTCTATCACAAAAACAGGCATCGAAGCAGCTCAAGCTATTTTAGATGCTCGCTCGCCATGGCATCACATGGCCAATGTGCCGTTTCAAATTATCTGTGTCCTACTAGCCATTGACACGGGAGAATCGATAGCTCAGCTCAAGGACGCAATGCAATGTTTGAGTAATGTTGCTACTGTGTATAACACTAATGCTACGAAAGAGGCTCTCAACACGGCTTCTCTGCTTATACTGATGCAACAGAGGCGCAAGGAGAAGTGTGCATCGAACTTGAGTGACATACTTAAAACCTTCCCGATAGTTTCCCTTCCAGAGACGCGAGATGAGACTCCCGTTACAGAGATGGATGATATGAGATGGCTGAATAACTTGGTTGGAGATCTTTCCAGTTTCGACTATGCTGATTTGGATCGATTTCTCTTCCCGAACATGTTTTGATCAGGGTAGACTTTTTGTCGTTATTCTATGCAATAGTATGATATCCATGTAATCTATAGTCTTATAGCTCCCCCAATGTGTAGTCTACTTCTTTCGATACCACATCCTCGAAGCTCTCTGACTCCTGATCTTCCTTTGCAGCTGAAACACGCCATACATCAAAGCCTCAGCAGTAGGTGGGCAGCCAGGAACGAAGATATCGACCGGAACAATACGATCAACTCCCCTTACAACGCTATAGCTGTAGTAATAGTACCCTCCTCCATTGGCACAAGATCCCATGCTGATAACCCAACGGGGCTCAGGCATCTGATCATAGACTTGTCGTAATGCAGGGGCCATTTTATTTGTGACAGTCCCTGCGACGATCATTACATCTGACTGTCTAGGGGAGGCGCGGAAGATGATGCCGAGACGGTCTTGGTCGTAGCGTGGCATTGAAACGTGCATCATTTCGATACTGCAGCAGGCCAGACCGAAGCTCAATGGCCAAAGGGAGCCAGTTCGGCCCCAATTGGCTATCTTATCTAGCGTCGTGCTTTATTACACATCTTTTAGCTTCTTCTTTTTCATCGTGGCGCGGGTTTGAGTACGTACAGGGCATAGTCGACTAGGTTGTTTGGCTTAACATCGGCGAGCGAAGCTAGGTGCGCATTAGGTGCTATATCCTTAGCCGCCTTGGAGGAACCATTCCGTCTCTGAAAATCGAATCGGTTGTCTGTTATTCTATGAGCTTGCTGTGGGATTGTTGAAGTAGCTGTGATGGAGAGAGGCCGAGCTATAGCTGGAGGATGGTGTAAGTCGAAGTCGATAAGCTCTTTAGAGTTATTGCTCACATCTTGCTAATTGAAATCTGGTCATATTTGAATATCTCGTATAAGTAAATAAATATAATTTTCTAGGAAACAAGAAAGACAAAATAAATAGTGCTGCTGGCTATATAAGACCTTTCCCCGGGGTCCAGGTCGGAACGGGAATTAACCACATAGCCCCACTTATTGCTGCTCCGACTCGGAAAATTCCCACATGGCCAAACTTCAACCTCTTTCATCCCACATACCTTTCAGATGGCGACTTCATATCGAGCTCCGGCATGTCCCGTCTGTAGCAAACCTCTATCCACTAGTCAAAATGAATGTCCATTCTGTCATAAAGTTTTCCGGAGGGCTGATGTCGCTCGTCGCCATGCACGCTCTTGCAATGCCCGACAAGGCCGACCTCTTCCACCACAAGCCAAGCGAGGCAGAAAGCTTCGAGCTTGTAATAACTGCGCACGAGTGAAGGTCTCTTGTAACACGGAACTTCCTTGTCATCGGTGCTCAGCTCGTGGCATTGAATGCACATACAGTTCACTATGTCATGATCCTACACATCGAGCGACCCCCAAACCGAGGGAAGTCCCCAAGGATGACAATCCCAGCTTTTCTTTTCTTTTACAAGCTAGCAATCCGACCCATCCATCTATGGATGCTATTGTCGCTCGGGAGCCGGAAAGGATATCAGAGATGCCTGCTTGGGAGCAACGTGAGACTGTCGGTTGGAGCTCAGGGACAGTCGATCCAAGATTTCTTCTCTTTGATCTATCGGATATGCTTCTAGATGAACCCCAGGACTATGGAGATACCGAAAATAATCCGCTACAATTTTCTGGCGTCTTTGGTCCTTCTACCGAGTCGGCCGATGCTCTCTCGACGCGAATAGTCACTCTGTCAAATATCCTTCAAGAATTAACTACCAACAAGCCTCATCTCAGGGATGGGCTCGACCAAAGTTGTCAACGAGGGTTCTTTACGGCGTCTCATTTTCAGCATGTCCTGGTCTTCTTCTTCCGCCGGAGACACTACCATCAAGACATGATACACTGGCCAACATTTGATCCTGAAAACGTTTCACTCCACCTCCTACTAGCTGTAGTGTTGACCGGAACTGTTTATCTTACATGCCTCAATCAATCTGCTCCCTCATATATTAATACAGCGCTGCTAGAATTAGCAGAAAAGTATGTATACAAGGAGCTAAAAGAATTGTCAGGTCAAGATGTCAGTCCAGTTACTTCACAATACATGCTTGAAATATGCCAAGCTGCGGTGTTGATGAATACTCTCGAGGGCAGTGCAAATCACATCGAAGCTCGCCGAAGAATAGCGAGCAAACGAATCCCATCACTCGTTGCCACGTTGAGAAAATCAAATATGATGAGTCTTAAACACGAACCTGACAAAAGCTGGGGAGAGTTTGTTCAGCGAGAGACTTGTATAAGGATCGTTGCATGGACTTTTGTGAATGACTCACTACTGGGGCTCTTCTGTAACCACCCACCCAGCATAACATCAAAGGAGATGACTGGAGATCTGCCATGTCCGAGTGATATCTGGGAGGCAGATTCAAGCTTGGTCTTTCAAGAAAGGTCACGGCATAGATTAGAGAGGTCTTATCCTTCAAACTGCAGCGAGGCAATGGCAGGAATGCTTGCTGAAGAATGGACGCCTGTTACTAGAGATTCTTTTGGAAGATTAGACCATTCAGATCTCTTCTATCTCTCCTCAGGTACATCACAACCCAGGACAGTCAATAAATGGCAAATACTGACTTTTTCCAGGTCTTGAGCGTCACATATTTCATTATCGTACGTCAGTAGTATCACCCGACTACTCCAAAATGTTGCTATGTGCATTGGATAGATGGGACTCTCTTTGGGCGGATGCTTACGAACGTATTCCAAAGGATGAGAGGAAATGGCTTGGAATAGGGAAGCATACTCCTGAAGTTATGGCTTTGTCAAGGCGGACCATTGAACTCATCGAATCTGGCGAAGCAAAGGAATCGGCTTATCTTCAGGACATTGCATTTTATGACATGGCTGTCTTTCATGAATTCGTCCAGAAGTATGGACAGGGAAGCCCTAGTGCATCGAAGAATTGAAAGGCTGCCTTTACGGCTGCCTCTCAAATATCTACACTTGACTCTCAGTTCTTCTCGGTAACGCCGAGCGATCATCAGTTCATTCCCCCAGAAACCAGGCGATCATCCAACCATTCATCGCCACTGAGCGACAACTCGTGATGTTTATACCCGCCCAGTCCCCGCCATCGGAGATGTACTGAAAACTCTAGTGCGCCAAGTCCTGGGCGAAAGCACGGGTGCCTGATCTTGGCTGAATGCTAAAAATCAGGCCGACAATTTTTCATGCTTCTAGAATGCTGCAAGCAATAACAATTGCACATTGCACAGCCTCATGTGCCAGACTGTCACTCTAGCATCATGCGGGGGCGCGGTGGCTATGGCGGAGATGCGTCAAAGAACGAACTAGAGAGGAAGGTCTCGTTGGAAATATGGAACGTCTTAAGGCAGCCAAGATTGTAAGATTAAGGCATACAGATCGGGGACTTCCAAATCGTGTAAGACCACGTGGTGATCAATACGCATCGCCGCATCTGAAGTTTATTCTCCTGCGGGATTCCGTCTCCGTCTCTGTCAATTGTCCCGTCTCTATATACGAGCAAATCATACCTGGATGTTCTCACGTCTCAACTCAGCCACATCTCTAATGAAAGATCCCACTCAGGAATGTCAGTATCTTGTAAGCTTTTAGTTGATAAACAAAATTTGACAGTCACAAGCGGACTTTTGGCGTATTGGGTTGTCGTAGCGAGCGAGATGTCCCTCAGGTTGGTTCAATTGAATCTGCCTCAGTGACAGCCTTGATCCACACTAAACAAGGATGCAAACCAATGAGAAATGCAATCACCTCCATGTTGCGGCGCTGCAAGCTTAACCCCGACAAGCTTATACGCCCATGCCAACTCCAGGGTCTTTTATGTCACAGACCCACGATCGTCGCTCAAATCATCCTTGAAACAGTGGTCAATTGGTAATGGCATTACCGCGGAACCCAACAGATGATTGACCAGCATCAACATTAAGAGAAGTTTGCTGTCTCGCTAAGTGAAGCTTGTGTCTGGATTAAGGCTGAGCCAAGGCATTCGGACCTTCATTCCCGTTTCTTTGTCTCTTGATGCGCGCCTCTGCAATGCAGCAAACCACCACAAACACGCTCCAAAGTAATTACACCGCTGTGAATGGTTCCTCTGGCTAAGCCACTTTGGTAGGGCTGCTTTTTGTCTCCGCCAAAAACAACAAAAGTCAAAGCACTTTTTTGGCTGGAGCTAACTTAATTTGTTTTCAGAGATTGGCTTCTTTTCAGCTCGTCAGAGCTAAAAAAAAACGCCAGAGACCAATGCTCTCTCCGCTTCCTACGGTGAATTACCTCCTTAGAACAGAATATAAAGAAGACAATTCTTCATGCCTTGGCAATTTCCTTCTTCTCAATCAGTCATCATCTCGAAGGAGCTACCAAAACCGGTCGTTCAGTGACCTCATTACAGCTCAGCCAAGACATCCGCTTGTTCTTTGCTGTTTAGCGGTCGATCGTCGCCCCAATCCTTCTGGAAAGAGCGACATCATCATTTCTGTTTACCTCATTCGCCCCTTGAACCTCATCATAGAAGGTCAACCCCGTGATCTTCTGTCGTTGTTGCCCCCGTCACAGCCTCCGAATCTAGAGGAGAAGGCACGCCTTGTGGATCCTTGCAATTACCCCCGTCATCAATTCAGTCTTACTTACCCTTCCTCAATTCGGATTTCGGGTATTAAACCTTGGAACTGCCCACTTCGGACTGTTCCATCTTGTTACATCCCCAAACTCAAACTCACGACTTTTTTTGTTTCTCGTCGGTTTGGCATCTTCTAATCCGAAATCTTTTGGTCTTCGCTTGACTCTGGTTTCCAATTCACAATCGACACTTCTTTGTTTCATCTAGCCTACACCTACCTGCATCCTTTCGTCATACCAAGACAGCTTGGCCCACAATGAGACCAGACTTCGCAGTCGTGCTATTCGCCCTCATCACATCAACGGTCGCGTCGGCCGTCAATGTACCCCGTCACATAAAGCGCATCGAGTCTGAACCCAGCGCTGATGAGCACGAGCTTTACAAGCGTCGTGGCGGCGGTGGTGGTGGAGGACGCGGAGGTTCCAGCGGCGGAGGTTCAAGAGGATCATCTGGCAGTGGCAGCAGAGGTGGGAGCTCCCGTGGAAGCAGTGGAAGCGGCAGCAGTCGCGGAAGCAGCAGTAGCGGTAGTGGTTCAAGAGGCTCATCATATCGTCCAGGTTCATCAGGCAGCGGTGGCTCCGGCGGCGGCGGTTCTCGCGGTGTCGGTCCTCAGCCCAGCTTCGCAGGCGGTCGATACTACCCCGGTGGTTCATCACGACCTTACAAGTCCGGCGGTTCAAGTCCCGGAAGAATTGCGCCCTACGCTCTAGGTGGTGCTGCTCTGGCATTCTGGCCTGGCGTTTGGCTCTACGGTGCATATATGTATCCTTACTCGCATCCCTACCATTATCACAACGACACCAGCGATGAGGACGAAGAGCGTGATGTCCTCTGCGGATGCTCGCGATACGAGTACTGCGCATGCGACGACAACAACAGCACCCAATACTTCGACGAACTCATCGGAAACGGAAGCTACGACGCACTCAACAAGTCCATCGTCAATGTCGCAGAGGTCAACGGCACAATGACAATCCTCATCAACGGAACTCTGCCTAACGACACAGCCCTTCCTGACGAGAATGCATCAGACAATGGAGCAGTATCAAGACGACATTACCCCTCCCTGGAGAAAATGGGCTGGGTAGGTATACTCTCCATCGTCTTGACAACAGTCCTTTATGTCTAGGGGGCTTGCATGATTGTGTTTCTTGTCATTATAGCGATAAAACATGTTGAGCGTCGCCGGGCAAACCAGGCAAACCAGGCAGACCGGGTAGCTGGCCAGTAGCAAGCGCAAGTTTAATGAGTTCATGGGTTTCACGGTGTTATTGACGGCGTTAATACCCAACTGGGAGGATTCCTGTACTGTTAGAGAGTGGCATTATTGACTTCGAAATTCTTGTACTTATTATTGTTATTGAAGTATTCAGTATTCGTCATACACTACGCGACGAACGGAACTTGTTAGAAATATACTGCATCCTTTTCTCAATTCTGTTCCCATCAATGATGCATCATTCTTGAGCACCTCAGCAGGCCTCAGTGTGACGTCCACAGCATTCATGGAAGGAAACAGTCAAGGCAGACTCCATCTCCTGGCATCATCCCTGCGCAAGTTTACATCACCGTCCAGCTCAATGGCTTTAGATACACCTATGGTGCCACGATGTACAGACCGGTGTTTCCAAAACTCGCTCGACGTTGAGATAAACGATTGGGGGCTAAAAATACTATGCTTATGTTGTGTAGGATTTGATCTATGCAATGCTGCCCTGTCATGATACTCCCCAATCAGGAATCCGCCGAGTTTTTGCGTCATTTGGGATTACCCATCGAATCATGTTGCAATTTCTGGTATTGTAGAGTGTTGATCTTGTGTTATAGAGGGTTGATCTTAGTGATGATCGTGTATTATGGAGGGTAGATTTCGCTATGGAAGCTTGATTTCGTATGGGCGCTGTGTCTGACCGAATTGAGCTGTGTTTTTGGGGGTCATTTGAAGCAAGCGAGGTTGGGGGGATTTGGGGATTGTAATTTGGAAATTACAATGACAGCTCATGGCGCTTATATGCAGGTTATGTGAGTTCATGTATGTTTAACCGGATTGGAAGATAGCGGGCGCAATAGCAGATTGTTCAATCACAAAACCTTTACCAGAATTAAACTGATATCATTAGTAATTCGATAGACGATTCTCTCCAGCTTTGACCGAGTAATAACCTGCCTCCATTCTTCATTCCCTGCCGATGAAGTCTCTGTGACGATCGCCAGACTCTAAAATACTCTCTATCATACTCAGCAATATTTACAGTCCCACAAGCTGCATATAAACAATATATTCATACAATCTATCCCTCTGTGCGAAGCAGGAAGACTTGGGACCTACATCTTAAGTAATACAAAAGCTCAGGTAAGTTCAGTATAGATTCTAGCAATTTTGGTATATACTTAGCGGGTCTTGAGGCTAGTTATTTCTGGTATCCTTATTAAATGACAAAAAGTTTTCTTGGTCTCTGAGGCCCCCTTCACTATATTGTGATATCAGTAATGGATGCGTCACTTCAGAATCGTGAAGTGTCAAAGTGGTGTTTCGGCTACTCGGAACCGCAACAGGTGGGTGAGCCTGGAGCAACAACCGGTTTCATCTACGATATATGGAGTCAACCTCATATAGAATGTTTTCTTCTGCCATAGAGACTTACGAGCCTTTCCGTGGGAATGTGTAGTGTCTTTAAAACGCAGCTTCGCCACCAGCCTGGCCAGTTGCTAATCATTCACTGTGTGTTTAATATGGTTATTCCTCGAGTACACAATACAGTAAACGAACTCGTACTTCTTGTGAGGGCTATATTCCTTAACGTCCAAAAGAAAAGTTCAAAGCAATGAATGTGCTTTAATGTCAAGCGTTGCTCATACTTGCGTGCCACCTCTCCCAACTGGGTCCTTCGTACACCCTGTATTGACGAGATGGCCGGCTTTTAAGGAAATTTAAAATCACTTACTCGTACGGTTGCAAGTTAAAATGAGCTTTGAGTATGCATATATACTTACTGTGAGGCCGTGGGGAGTAAGTCGTAAGTTCCTGTTCATTTATGATGGCCCAATAAGAGGCGCCCTATCTACGCAGAGTTGGAGTAGATATAAAGTCCATACTAACATTACAATACAAGGCTATCTTTCTTTTATATCTACCTTGTGGTTCTTTTGTCCTCTGCAGCAGAGCCGGCAGGTGGTAGATCGTCTGTTGATGCCTTCACGGACTTGAGCCGGACAATGAACTTGTGACCATCATTTATCTATAAATGAGGCTCATGACACTTTATATCTCTTTTCGGTGTTTAATTCTCAGAGGAATCTGTAGTCCTAGGCTGCAATTTTACGCCTCGTCTAACAATGAGTCGAGCCTTTGGCCGTGAACCTCCTGGCATTGTGCATGCTGGTGGGCGTGCTATGCTCTTGATCTGCTTTCTGCATAACATGAAGCCTTATGCATTTGATGATACAGTATTTTGAGGCAGGTTCCCGGCCACGTATCTATTATTTAGGTTCTCGGTTTGAGAAGATGCCAGTCGTGAAACAGTGATTCACGCCATCCTTGCTCTATAAATTCGTCAGTTTGCTTCTAGGTAACTTTATTCTTTCAACATATCACATCAACGTAAAAGTCTTCATTCGCTCATCTATCTTAGAGTATTACTGTATTGATTTGATCTTATCTTATTGCAACTATCTTATGCTCCTTGGCGACTCCCTTTGTAAGTCCAATGTTCATTTACTGGTAACATTTCCTTACAAAGTCACCAGTTTTCAGCTTCAGCTTAAACTCCACAACTCTAGAACTATTCAACCAAGTATGATATCACAGAGACGGTAGTGGCTGTAAGGCTTGAGAGCAAAGTTACATCACCAAGGTGAGTTTCTATTGAGCCATCTACACGATAATTGTTCCTTGTCGCGACAATAGTGTTGAAGTGGAGACCTGCACGCCACTCAACGCCGCCCCATCTCGAAATCCGAGCACTGGCCTTTCCGCTTCCTCCATCCTATCTTGACGTTGATTGGCTAACTCCACGCTCATTCTCAGGCTCTTGGGCATCTTTCCTGGAGAACGCAACCGTGAACAACTCAGCTCAACGCAAACACGAATTACTTCCCTTCAATCTTCACACGACGGCCACGAATCGCCGAGCGACGGCCGATCATCAGCGACGCGATAAAATTATGATATAAGAATAACGACACTTCCGCGGCCTCTTAGCGATCCGATTTCAAGATTGCGACACCGCGATCATGGCTGAAGAGAACGATTTCTCGTCCTTTGACGAGAACGCCTGGAAGGCCCAGGACGCCGCCGACGATCGAGAAATTGCGAAACTACTGGGAGATTCGCAAAATAACGGAGGCGGCATCGTTCTCGACAATGTCGCGTTCGATCAGTCCGGTAAGGCGGACGATGCAGAGGATTACGAAGATATCAGCGACGATGATTTACCAGACGAGGAGGAGCCCAGCGCTGGTGTTTCTATGGAGATGCCTGGCCTCACGGACGATGGCGGAACCAGTCACGATCCAGATGATCTCTTCGGAGAGGGACCTTCTTCGCCAGATCCAATTCTAGGTCCCTCTTCCCCAGCACCTCACATTCGCGATGCCGATACTACCGACGACACCCAACCTCTCGATACGAGTCTTAGCTTTCCTGGCATCAACTTCGACCCCGAACCACATCTCGATAACCAGGATCCTGACATTCCCGCACCCGCTGAAACCGTCGAGGACCTCCTAAAAGCTACATGGCCTGCTTTCAAGAAGGGGCACATCTTGACATGGAGCGAACTCCTACCAGCCAAGAAGGCCACATGGAAGGAGAAGAAACCCGTCAAAAAGCCCAAGCAGCTCGTCACCAGCAAACTTACACTCGAACTCGCTCCCGATCAAGAGAAGCTGTTCCGTATCCCAGGCACTGCAACCATCACCCGCAAACCTAGGCAGGGCGAGGATAGAGGTTTAGTGTACTGTGGCATGGACCAGGAAGATCAAGCCGAAGATAATGTCCAGTTCGATCTCGATCAAGAGTCCGATTCCGAAACGGTTGCTGGCTTCACCCTACGTGATATTGAGCTTGCCTGCGAAGATTGGGGCGCCAGCATTGAGGCTATCGAAGCTGATTTCAAGGCCCGACAAACCGCCGAGCAGCAGGAACAGCAAGCACGGAAGCGCGTGTTTGAAGAGCAGGATGAAGAATGGGATGCTGAGTTCCTGATGGACCTTGGCGACGAGGGACCATCACGACCGAAGAAACGCAAGACAGTGAAGCTTGGTCTACCAGAGATTCCCCGCTATGCTGCCCCCTCCTTCGACAATTTCGAAGACGCTACCCGCAGAGGCGCCAAGAGGGTGCAACTGGATATGAGCGATCCTTACCTCCTTATCGAAACCCAAGAAACTCAACGAAATGCAAAGCGACCCCGCACAGACAACAAGCTGAAGCGCATGGCTAACGGCAACCTCGGCCGCGATGTCTCCAACCGCTTCAACATCTCGAACGACGAGGCATACGAGGCTTTGAAGGAAAACCACCAAAGCAAGGTTCGCGCTACACTTGGCAACATCTCTGTTGAGCACAGTATGCCCGCTATCAAGCTCTCATGGCCGTACTACAAAGTTAAGCTCGGTGGTACGACAGATGAGTATCATCGCCCTCGTTTCAGGTACAAGAAATTTGCTGGTCATATCATCAAGTTTGACAAGCCTGCACACCAGAAGCGAAAGCAGATGAAGGGCAAAGCGCACGAAGTCTTCCTCAAGTCCAAGGATTTGAGTATTAACGACAACTCAACGGCTGTTCTTTACGAGTACTGTGAGCAACGTCCACGAGTGCTCAGCAGCTTCGGTATGGGCAACCGCTTGATCAACTACTACCGCCGGAAAGACACAAATGAAGACGAGCAACTCCCCAAGCAAGAACTTGGAGAGTATCGCATGCTTCTTCCTGAAGATCGATCCCCGTTTTCCCTCTTTGGCACCGTTGACCCCGGTGAGACTGTACCAACATTACACAACGAGATGTACCGAGCTCCTGTCTTCAAGCATAACCCAAGAGGAAGTGACTTCTTGGTTGTGCGCAGCACCACTGGTGAACATGGTTCGAGGTGGTTTCTCCACAAGATCGATCATCTTTATGTCGTCGGTCAGCAATTCCCTTCAGTCGAGGTTCCAGGACCACACAGTCGCAAGGTTACGAATGCCTCGAAGAACAGAATGAAGATGCTCGCATTTCGCATGATAAGACACAGCGATACCGACAACTGTCAACTGTCCGATATCACCAAGCATATTGCCGACTCAACCGATACTCAAAATCGCCAGAAACTCAAAGAATTCCTGCAGTACGACAGAGAGAGCGGTGAGAAGGGTATGTGGCGACTGAAACCTGGCGAAATACTGCCTGATGAGAGTACGATTCGTTCCATGATTAAGCCGGAAGAGGTTTGTCTACTTGATGCTATGCAACTTGGTATCAAGGAGCTTGAGGACGCCGGATACGACCCTCGAAATGCTTCCCTCGATGAAGATGTTCAGAACAACGACGCAGATGGGGATGACGATGATGTCGAGGATGAAGGCAGCAAGATTGCCAAGGGCGCCAAAAAGCAGCAAGAAAAGCAAGAAGAAACTCTCGCGGACAAGATGGCCCCATGGAAGACAACTAAGGCTTTCATCGATGCATGCGCTCAAAAGGCCATGCTTCAACTTCATGGTGAGGGAGACCCGACAGGCCACGGTCTTGGCTTCTCCTTCATTCGAACCTCCATGAAGGGTGGATATATCGAGGCAGTTCAGGGACCACTTGCTACATCTGCAGATGCCATGGAGCGTGAAAAGCGAGCTAATGGTGGCCACGCCTATAATGTCAAAAAGCAGCAAGCAATGTACGAGGAAGGTATTCGAGAAATTTGGGAGAAGCAAAAGTCTACACTCTCAGATGGTCAAGAGCATGACGACAAAGATGTTGCAGTAACAGAAGACGAAGATGACAGATTCAACGTTCAGTCAGCCATGACTCCAGCCCAGTTCGACGACGGTACCAGCCAAATTAGTGGTTTGACTTCGGCAAGTCGACAGCAACGACGCGCTATTCGCATAACCCGAGAGATCCGAATGCCCGATGGCAGTACGCAAGATCGAGTCGAAGTCGTTCACGATCCGGTTGTGATTTCGCAGTATATGAAGCGGCGAACAGAGGCGGATCTTGAGATGAGAGAGTATGTGCACCCACCCAACTCGCGTCAGACAGTCCAGCAGCCACAGAGCAGGGGAGTCGTGACAAGAAAACGTCGACGAACTTACGGAGTCGGCACCCCTGGCTCAAGAAATGACATTGTTGGATTGGAGTTTAGAGCACCGGCTTACGTGTATCTTTCAACAGCATCTACAGCTCCCGTCCTACAGGCAATGCCGACCATGACCGTCTTGCAGGCATTAGGTACGTCTTCTCGAGTCATGGTGTGATGATCGATACTAACAGTAACGCAGAATCAAGAAGGAGCTCGAACGACTCGAGAAGAACAAAGCTCGACGACAGGCTCGAGAGCAGCAAAAAGAGCTCCACCAAAAGGCCAGCACAGGAGATGCTGGGTCACCCAGTGTCAATGGCGATAAAGTCCCAACTGGAACAACCCGCAAGTGTGCCAATTGTGGCCAAGTCGGTCACATCAAGACAAATAAGAAGTATGAGCCCCCATTCTCCATCATCACTTCCCTTTGTTTCTCCCCCTCCCCCAATGTCGTTCAATTGGTGTGCACCTCTAGAGGCCGACAACACAAAGCGCAGTCGCTCGCGCAAGTCCCAATTGCAACTCGCCATGGAGCACTGCGACAAAGACAAGGTACGAGATGCCAGAAGGCGTGCTGAAGAAAAGGCTCGCGAGGACAAGGCAATCGCTCGTCAACTAGAACAGGAGCGGCGAGCGGCAGAGAAAGAAGCAGAACGCGAGCGGCGAGATGCGGCGGCCAAGCGGCAGAAAGAAGAGCGTGAAGCCAAAGCCCAGCGAGTTCAAGGGCAACGAGCCGCTGAAGTCAAGCGACGTGAGGAAGAAAAGGCTGAGCGGAAGAGAGTCAAAGAGGAACTCCAGCGCCGTGCCCGCGAGCGAAGAGCCCGCGAGCAAGAGATTGCGCGTGCGCGACGTGAAGCTGAGCGCATCCGCCGTGCCTGGAAGGTGCCCAGATGGCGCTCTGGAGGTGCATGGCGTTGAGAAGACCAATTCGTGCAACGACTACCACATCACATACAACGTTTCTTTTGTGATTGACGCGTCTTTTCAAAACTCTTTACTAACTTGTTCCTCAAAGGTTATGTCCACTGCTTAACGGCACGATGAAGGCGGACAATGGCGCTGCTGAGCACGGAGGCTTTGGTAACTACAATGCTCCAGGAGGCGCTGCTGGATCGCCCAGTTAGAAACCGATTACTGCTCTTAATATGTGAGCTTGATCTCGATCAGCCAAAACTACGAGGTCGACTTTTGAGAATGGTTAGTTGATATGGTTTCATCGTCAGCATGAAGGAAAGCGATGGCTCTATTATTCTTGGTTTTATGTTACTTCAAAAACGCTTCGGAGAGAGAATCGAGCTGTACATTAGGGAAGCTCTGGTACACCCTGACGAAACCAGAGGCGGATGGCATTGAAATGGAGTTTGGGATCCTTGTTGCTTCACGGAAAAGGCTGGCATGGCAACAGGAAAGATATTGCATTTACCTAGACTGCGTCGACGGTTCTTCTGACAATATGCTATTAATAACATCATTTGAAACATTAACTTTGTTCCTGTTTGTTTGCCGAACTTCATGATACTACGTACGCTTGACAACGCGGATAGCCATTGCCGGGAAACCCTAGACGAGCAGAGGTAGTGAGAGTCTACCAACTCTACAACTAGCACCCTTGACAATGATGTGACGAGAAGTGATCCGAGTATCCATGGATTCGCATGCGGTGAAGATGTCTAGAATACGTAGGTGATGAGTTGTTGGTGGTGCAGTTGACCTCTCACATCTCAGAAGCGGCCAAATTTCGAGATGCACATTTAGCCCCCATTATAGTGTCTCCACTGATAAACTGGGTTAATCTCCTGACAAGCTGGGTTAATTGGCCCGCATGGTTGATGCATGACCTGGTCCCGCGTGTGAGGCTGCTATGCATAATTGTATTTTTAGAAGCTGGAAAATGACGGTTGGGAACTAGGGTCTGGCATATGTCATGAGGACGGTGAGTTAGGGGAGATAAGCTATAGCTTTACCGATGCCAATAGCTTCACGAACGTGTTTAATGAGTCTAACTCTACTGACTCAACTTCTCAGAATCATTGTGTCGATCAAGAAAGTCAGAGCTTAGAGCCACCCATCGGGGAGGAGAACAGGCCACGATCATCGACGCAAGGGCAAACCTCAAGCTAAGAGACGCAGCAGCCAAAAACATGGTGGAATACGAAAGCCGTTGCAGCGGAATGGGTGGGAACAAACGAGGCTCAGCTTCCTTTCCTGTCTGTCAAGTTGCATGAAACACAGGAAGCGATATCCGGAAGAGTTGCTTTAGCCTCGTTTGCTCTAGCTGATGTGTTGTTTCCGTTTGACTCAAACCAGGATATGGCCTGGGCTTTGTGGTTTCAAGACGATAAGAGCTGTCTTGAGAGGTTGGTGGTTGAGCCTTAGGCTTCTTATTTGTTCGTGAAGAGACTTGGAGTTGAGGCTTTTCCTTCTGCCAAGAGCCGTGGCTAATATTATACCTGATATACCTTCGACTGCTCTGTACAAAGACACCTAGCCAGATCTGGATAGAAAGCAATGTGGTGCGACAAACGTCAAGTCAATGATGTTATTTCTAAAAGTCGGTGGTTGGACCTCCACTGTCCAAGTTCCATCCCGCTGTTGCGTCCCGTCCTGGTCTGTCTCCCTGAACTTTGGCGCCTCTTTAGGGGACCATTCCAGGGCTTCGAGTGCCGTAGTCCAGGCCCTGCTCCACTAAACCCACCATGACGGTGAGCCCCGCCTGACCTGTATCCAATCACGCTCACCTTATCTAAGCAAGGAGTTTTTCCTGCGGGTTCCATGCTGCCTTCTTTTTTTCCCTCCCGTCGCTTTCTCCATCCCGCACCCGCACGCACGAGTGAAAGTGAACACGATCCGTCTATTATTAGAAGCCATCCATCTATTCCCATCCCAACCACAGACGCCAGATTCAGCCCCATCAACGTCTTATCGATCCAAAACCTTCAACTTAACGGTCGCTCGTTTGTGTCATTTTTTTCCACTCTTTGCCCCCTTTCTCCAGCGCAAGCGCAAGCGCCAGGAAATCCCAAAGCCCTCTCTTGATCGCTCAAATCTTACTTTTCTATCGCTATCGCGTCGCGTCGCGCAACGGTCTTGAGGGCAGATCTCATCTAAACCTAGTCTCCTTATCGCAACGGCTCTCGTGAACTCAAAATTTCATCTGCGCATCAAATCTGATGATATACGCGACTCGCATGCCTGCGTCACTCATCCTCTGCCTCACTCAGTACCCTCTTCTATCCCGCTCCCCTCAGGGCTAAAAAAGAGGTACCACCAAAGGCCAAGCTTAAAAAGAGATACCGTCGACGCGCTACTGCACCAAGTACCCCTCCACCAGCTGCCAGCCACTAAGCTACAAAGGCAGCCAACGGCCTGGGGGTCCTTCGACTGAAAGGTTACTTCTACTTCGGCTTGTCCCAGCTCCAAGCAAAGCAGAGCAGAGCAAGCCAAACCACCTTCGCTTCCCTCACCAAATCCTCTCCCGCTCCCACTCTTTTTTTCCTCTTAAACAACCTTCCACGGCCACCGCGACAGCCGCCTCCGTCATCTCGCGCAACCTGCTCCTCTTCTCTCGGCTTTATCCATCGACTTTTTCGGTTTATTTCTCCGTTTCCTCAAGCGTTCTTTGGTACCATCCACTTTACCACGCCGTTTAACTATTCTTTGTTCTCGCTTACGATCACGACTACAACCGCGCTTCAACTTGACTTAACTTCACTTGACCTTAACCTCGCGGCTCGACTTTCTCCGCTTCAAACTGTCGACTCCTTTTCTTTGCGACGATCTGCGCGACCCAGTTCCAATTCCACCCTGCTCCACTACCAACGTCTCAGGCATCTTCCAAATCTCCTTGGCCGCAACCGTTGAGCTTCCCCGCGTGGAAACGCGACACATTTCTCCAACTTGAACTGCACAACCGTTCAACATGGGACGAAGAAAGATTGAGATTAAGGCGATCAAAGATGACAGGAATCGCTCTGTGTAAGTAAACCCCAGGAACGGCTACAAATCACCAGACCTTGGGGTCTTCAAGTTCGCGACTAACTGGCGCACAAAGCACCTTCCTGAAACGCAAAGGCGGTCTTTTCAAGAAGGCTCATGAGCTTTCCGTCCTTTGCTCCGTCGATGTCGCCGTCTTCATTTTCGGTAACAACAAGAAACTTTACGAATATTCGTCAACGGATATGCGAGAGCTTATCCACCGATATCAATATGTGAGTCCCACTTCTGGAGGTGGTCGCAACGCCTCTGAACACAGGCTGCGACTACGACGCGCTGTATTATTTGCTAATAGATAATAGCATGGCGGTCCCAGTGAACACAAAGGTCCTTCCGACTTCAACGGTGGAAACGATGATGACGAGGATGAGGAGAACGACGGCACCCCTCCCCATGGTCCTGAAGTTGTCGAGAACCAGATGATGCCTCCCCATGCTTACGGACAACATCAACCTCCTTTCCCACAGATTCGGCATCATACACCTTCAGCATCACCACCTATTGGCAATGGCGGTCCATTCCAAGCGCATCCTGGTCATCCTATCCAGCGACAACATACTCCGCAACCATCGATCGGCTCACGACCGGCATCTCGAACGGATATGCGCCGCATGGGTCCCGGCATGGTCCAGCCTCCACCTCCGGCCGGCCCTCCGCATCCCGGAATGAATTACATGCCCAACCCGCCTATCTACAACTCGCCTCATCCTCCCGGTCTAATACCTCAACATGGTCCTCATTCTCAATATGCTTATCATCAACAGCCTAGCCACATGCAGCAACCAGGACCGTACATGGATGACCGCAGGTCCCCGATGCCCTCTCCGATGCCTCCCGCTTACACTTCGCAACCGCCGTCACAACCAATCCAAGCTCCTGTTCGTCCAACGCCATCGCCTCAACCACCTCAACAACAGCTTCCTCCAAACATGTCACAAATGTCACCTCCGCCGCCCCAGCCTGAACGTCGACTTCATGATCCTCCGCCACCGCCTCCCGTGGAACCCAAGACGGAACCACAAGAACGCCCTCAGCCGCCATTACTGAACACGGACAGTGCCATTAAGAAGCTACCTCAAAGAAAATCTCACAGTATCTTCACTCCCATCGAAGAGAACCGGTCTATTTTGTCCCAGCATCTGGCATCTTTTACTTCCGAGTCGAACAAATCAGAGTCTGCTGCTGCCGCTGCCGCTGCTAATGCTGCAAACGCCGCCAACCGTTCACAATCAGTTGATGTGGCTGCACTGAACCGGGCCGCGGATGGGCCCAAATCATCACCCCATTTGCCACAGCGTGCCAGTACTCAGACCGATGAAAAGTCTCGAACGGTATCGCTGTCGTCAATACCAGAAACCACTTTGACTCCGCCTTCGCGTTCTAACAGTGCAAAGGCCGGCGGTCCCGGAGGAGCTCGACCTCGTGGCCCTCGCTTAACGGTGCAGATTCCGGATGGCGGATCTGAAGGCGGCGGTAGCGCACGAACGGCAGAGTCAAACTCGCCGCGGGTTGCCACAGAAACTACAACGCAGGCGCCCCAGCGCCACAACTCTCAGTCATCACTTGTGCTTCCTCCTCCCTCTCCGTCTGCGTCAGCAATATTGTCCGCAGGTGCTACTGGTCCGCCAAATCCTTTTGCCCGGCCGCCTCCTCAGCAGAATATGAATGGTGATACTCCTGTCTCTGCCTTGCCATCACGTTTCTTGACAAATGAACTCCTTCCGAGCCCAAGTAGCTTCTATCCCGATTGGAACTTCCGGGGAGGTGACAGTAACACACTACCAAGTCCGCTGAACTTTGCAACGCCAGTTGTCGGTTCAGGCCCTAGTTTCCTCAGAGATGACCTGAATACGACACCAAATGCAAACTCAAACGCTTTCAAGGACAGAGATCCTCTGCCTAATGCCAATGGGAGCTCAGGTCAAAACTTGAATGTAGCTCCAAGCAATTCTACTGCAACGAAACGAAAGACTCCTGAGCCAGGAGCCACAACGCAGAGCGATACTGCGGAGGAGTCAGAACCAAAGCGGTTGAAGGTGGACGAGTAATGCTCGTCGAAAAGTGTTCTCATAAAAAAGTTCTTTTTGCTATACGCTTCAATCGACAGGGCATCATAGGCTGGCCTCTGCATGCCAGTCATAGAACGTCATCAGTACCGGCCAGTGTCTTGTTTACGGCCTTACAGTCTCTTGTTTTGAGGCAGCTTTTGCCTGTATTCCTTTCATCTTGAATATTATGCCTGGCTCGTGAGCCCCTTGAGTATAGGGAGGGGTAACTTGCAGAGTCTGGGGGAGCGAACTGTGCAGAATAGCCTGCATGACTAAAAAGTGGAGGGAGTTTGTTCTGGAGGTATAGTTCTTGTTGTAATTTATGTCTGTTTCGGAGGGTGTCGTTTCTGGGAGTTCGGATAGATGATACCGGCGACGAACATGTTGACCTAATCAATATACTGGATGAATAGCAGACTGATGCATGGTGATGTCTTTGAACCTCGTGTATTATCCTGCGTGCCACTACCTGTAGCGAAAGTATCCCGACCTCTTACGCAAACATCTAGCTATATCCAAACATGCCTAATCATTAATCTATCGTTATTCGTGTATCTGTACCCATCAGACGCTGTCTGTCTAAGCGTAGTTCAAAACTCCTTTCAGAATCCACTGTATATCAAGTTAGCATATCTCCCATCATGATCTCATTCAACTTACCAGTTCTCCATTCCCAACCTGACTAGCCACTCTCTCAACCTCCACCTCATCAGGCATAATAACCCTCCGTCCCTCCTTAACGTCCCACCAAACCTCCTTCCCCCCGAGCGTCTTACTCTTCTCCCCCTTCTCCCACGGACTAACAGGCACAAGATGCGCCTCCACAAACCGTTTCATATTCTCCCTCGCCCTATCCTGCCCTCCATCACCCTCATACGCATCAGCACCAAAATTATTATAATCAGCGGGTTGTTCCCACGGTTTGCGCGGTAGCGCATCAACAGCTGAGTTCAGCGGCGCAAGAACAGTGGTATTCGTCGATAGATCGCTGAGTCTTGTATCTGTGGAGGGCTGCATGCGCGCGAACGATGAGAATGATGTTAGGCCGCGGTTGGAGCCTAGGATGTCGCCGAGGGCGACGGAGGGTTGGACGGAGGGCGGGTTGGAGGACATTAGAGGGAGATGGCCTTTTAGAGGGATGGGAGGTTTGGGCAGGGGTGCTTGATTGTCGCGGAGAGGAGACTGTGAGGCGGTTGTTAGGCTGAATAGAGCTGTTAGGGCGATAAGAGGTTTCATTGTGAATATGTTGATGCAGGTTTAGGTTATGGTTGAGGTTTGACAGTATGTACGTCATGAGGGGATTTGCATGTTGGGGGTAACGTGATTGGTCACGGGATCGTTATCTCAATGACTTACACCAGAAGGTTGCGCCGCATGTCTGATACATTCTTTGGGGATCTGCTATCTAGTGTTTATTTAGAACAGCAGCTCACCCTATGTTTATGGTGTTGGTAATAATTCTGGTGCACGAGAACCCGTAAGTGCATAATCGTTGCGAGCCACAAGACGAACCATCCTGTGTTTTCCAACAGGAGTCAGAGTTGGCTTTAAGATAACATGTATTGAAGTGCCGAAGACTATTCTTAAACTGGCCTGATTATTTCTTGTAACAATGCTCTGTAAGACGTTTTTGTTTGTACACAGCCGCTCACAGTCGAACTTGATCTATGAGCGTTTGAGTCGTTAACCGTTTTGACAACGGTTTGATCCACCATGCACTGAGATACGCTGCGTATACAATACAATGAACACGCTAGAACCACAACTACTCGAGTTCGATGCGGGTTCCAATCAAAGAGGACTCGATTCGCATGGTATACATTGTATATTTCCAGCCGTCGGCTGTCCTAGTGCTTCTCCTACCCGGTAGCAGAGATTCAGGGACATGTCACCTACGTCATTGGCTTTGAGATTGAACCCTGCATGAGGAGTCCCTTTTGCAGAAATGAAAAAGGGATCAGCGAAGCAACAGCAGACCGTCGAGACTGCAGGTTACAACCGGCCTGATTTGACTCGGACTCTGAGTTCCATTGACCCTTCGGTACTGGTATTCACATGTGAAAACACGCTGAGTCAGCCCCCAGGTTTCAGTAAGACGGCAGAGGTTCTGGACAAATGGAAGAGCAGAAGTGGCGGAGGCTCAGACAATTTCCGGGGTCAGATGATGCACGTGTAAGAATCTGGGGAAAACTTAAGCCCAAGGAGGACTCTAATCCCCAGAGAAAGAATGGAGGCAAGACTTTCACGTGCTTTTTCAGAACAGTAAGCGAATGAGCGACGTCGAAAAAGAAACCAGCTGACCAGATCAAACTGTCACAAGCCTGAGAATGAATGCCTGTCACTGGATCTCTAGTCATGAACGTGGGGAAGACGGCGTCATGGACAAGATGCGGGAGGGTTTCAGTTATGCAGACGATTCATGTGCTTTTTTTTTTTTTGGAGGAGGAGGAGATAGCATGTGAAAGTCTGATGATTTACTGGACTCGAGAGGAAGAATTGATCAGTTCAGATCACGTGTACGGTTCAAGTTCATGTTTGAGTGATCCGTGGTGTGTCCGGTTACTTGGCCGAGGCGGTCGGTCACAAGTCCGGCTGTGTGGGGTTTGGAGAAGAGAGACATAATTGGATGAGTCTCAGGTGTCAGAAGGAGGAGAAAGATGAAGAGTGAGGAGATTGCATGAGGAGAATTGTTTTTTTTCACATGCTCAGAGTTATAATAAAATAAATAGACGAGATATAATACACCCGGTTAAAGACCATGCTCCCATGATAGACTCCTTATTACCTAGACAAGTCGGAACCCCGGAACCCCGGAACAACACTGTAGTGTTGACTTAACACCTTAGCCTGAGATGCTGTAGCTTTCCCCACAATGTCCTCAGAAGCGGAGACCTCGGCACATCAGTCGCGAGAGAGGCCATTGTCGGTGGGTTGCCCGGTCGCCTGGTAGACAAATGCGATGCGGTGTTTCGGCGTAGCTTACGGCGAGGGCAGCGAGTAACTGAGCCGAAGTGGTCTTTGTTGGGGACAGAATGTGGACTAGAGACTACAGGACCCTCAATTGGTGAGAAGTCTCAAGTTTACAGAGTATTGCACCTCAATAGGCGAGTAAACGTTCATATGAAAGTTCAACTGATGGAATTGATGCATCTCCCCCAATCCCCAAATTCCAACTGTAGCGGGGGTGGATACAGGGAACTGACGCTAAGTCTCAGTGGGCATTGCAGCCGCTTCCGGGGAGCAATCCTAGGCCTTGGCCTTGCTATGCTGAGAAAATGGTGGCAGCTGATTTGCTGCAAGTTCAAAGTCCGTCAGGTCAGTGTTTGCGACAGTTCATGAACAGAGAGGCCAAAAGACATAAAAAAGTATCATCTAACAGATGAGGGAAGAGTAAAAGTATAGATACATAATTAAATCAATAATAATAGAGTAATATGTGCTGTTATTTTGGTAAACAAGTACTTGAACCTCGTCGATGACCCACGTCGTTAAACTCACCTCTCTCCTCAGGCGGCCCAGCCCACGCCCGCTCTTTTTTGCACGCGCTCATCATTCATTCATGGTTCGACCTCGGCATCCACTACTGGGTAACGCCTTACTACCTTGCATCTTTCGGTTCGGTGCTTGCCTCTCGCCCTCGGCCTTGTTGGCGTCCATCGATCGCATACAGTACTAAATAAGAACTTGTCCCTTGATCCTCCTCTTCCTCCGACCTTTTTTCTTTTTGAACCTGTATTCTTATTCCCCCTCCCAAGAACATCTCCCTTTTACTATTGTATTCTTGCGTGGGAGTCTGCCGTGTCTTCTTTATACCCTCTCCATATACTCACATACACAATACACACACAACAATGGCTCCTAGAGTGATTATCGTTGGCGGTGGCCGTAAGTTGACGCCGATTCGCCTCTCGGAGGCTTTGCGCCGTGTGTTGCGACGATTCTAACATCTGTTTTCAGTCTCTGGTCTGTCTGCTGCGCACACCATTTACTTGGCTGGCGGCAACGTTGTTGTCCTCGACAAGCAGGGTACGTCACTACCAACACCCACTAACCCAGCGCATTGAAGCGCCTGGACTTAGTAGACCGCAACATTCACTGACATTCGCTTCCTGTAGGCTTCTTCGGTGGAAATTCTACCAAGGCTACTTCCGGCATCAACGGTGCTCTCACAAGGACGCAGGTTGAGTCTGGCATTCCCGACAGCGTCAAGCAGTTCTACGATGATACTCTCAAGTCTGCCCGTGACAAGGCTAGACCCGACCTTATCAAGGTTCTTACCTACAAGTCCGCTGCTGCTGTCGAGTGGCTTCAGGATGAGTTCAACCTCGATCTCACCCTCGTCTCTCGTCTCGGGTATGTTCAATTCGCCTCCCGTCAGCATTGAAACAATAACCTAACAATCATCACAGTGGTCACTCCCAGCCCCGAACCCACCGAGGCCACGATGCCAAGTTCCCTGGTATGGCCATCACATACGCCCTGATGCAGCGCCTTGAGGAGCTTGCCGAGAGCGAACCCGGCCGCGTCGAGATCATCAAGAAGGCCCGCGTCACCGAGCTTAACAAGGAGGGTAACAAGGTCACTGGTGTCAAGTACGAGTACAACGGTGAGATCGTCTCCATTGACGGTCCCGTCGTCCTCGCTACTGGTGGCTACGCCGCTGATTTCTCCGAGTCTTCTCTGCTCAAGAAGCACCGACCTGATACCTATGGCCTTGCCACCACAAACGGCACACACGCTACTGGTGACGGTCAGAAGATGGTTATGGCCATTGGCGGTAACGGCATTGACATGGACAAGGTCCAGGTCCACCCCACAGGTCTCGTCGACCCCAAGGACCCCGGCTCCAAGTGGAAGTTCCTTGCTGCTGAGGCTCTCCGTGGTGAGGGTGGTCTCCTCCTCAACGCCGATGGTGACCGATTCTGTGATGAGCTCGGTCACCGTGACTACGTCTCCGGCATGATGTGGGAGGAGAAGAAGAAGAACAAGTTCCCCATTCGCCTTGTTCTCAACTCCAAGGCCTCCAAGGTTCTTGACTTCCACACCCGCCACTACTCTGGCCGTGGTCTCATGAAGAAGATGACCGGTAAGGAGCTCGCCAAGGAGATTGGCTGCACTCCTGAGCATCTCCAGAAGACCTTCTCTACCTATAACGACATTGCCGATGGCAAGCAGAAGGACCCCTGGGGCAAGAAGTTCTTCCACAACTTGCCCGTCAACGTTGACGATGACTTCCACGTCGCCGTCATGGAGCCCGTTCTCCACTTCACCATGGGTGGTATTGAGATCAACGACAAGGCCCAGGTCCTCAACCAGGAGAAGCAGCCCTTCGAGGGTCTCTACGCCTGTGGTGAGTTGGCTGGTGGTGTTCACGGCGCCAACCGTCTTGGTGGTTCTTCTCTTCTCGGCTGTGTTGTCTACGGTCGTGTTGCTGGTGACACTGCCAGCAACTACCTCTTCCAGAACGCTCTCAAGGGCGGTGCCGGCAGTGCTGCTGAGCGTGTTGGTCAGATCTCTCTGCACCTTGACCCCTCAGTGCCCAACCAGGTAACTGTCTCTTGGGGTGCTCCCGGCGCCGCTCCCTCAGGCTCTGGTGCTCCTTCAAAGGTTGACGAGCAGGCCACAGCCTCTGCTGGCCCCAACCCTACCAAGGACGACGGTGCCAAGGCTGCTAAGCCCAACGACCCCAAGGCCTTCAAGGTCCCTGAGAAGGAGTTCACCATGGAGGAGATCGCCAAGCACAACACCAAGGACAACGTCTGGGTCGTCGTCAAGGGTGTCGTCATGGACCTCAGCAACTGGCTCGAGGAGCACCCTGGTGGCGTACAGGCCATCCTGAACTTCATGGGCCGCGACGCGACTGAGGAGTTCGAGATGCTGCACGACGACGAGGTCATTCCCAAGTACGCGCCTCAGCAGGTCATTGGCCGCGTCAAGGGCCAGGAGGTTACTCTTGAGCCTTAGGTCGAATGTCTGATGTAACTATGGTGACGCGGCGATGACTCTTGTGTGATTTTTTGTGCGAGAATTTTGTAGTACCCTATGCCCGCAAAAAGGGCTCTGGCAAATATTAGGCGTCTGGGATTTTTGTATTCATAGGCGGGATGCATGCAAGCTTGTTGCTAAATCTAGTTTATACAAATTTATGAAGATATTTTTAACATTAATAACCCGTCTCTGTGCAGTTTGTCTAGTGGTGAAACTTAGGTGTTGGCGGCTGTGTTAGTCAATGATAGGGATGCCTTAGGGAGAAGGAAAACTTCTGATGTTAAATTAGGGTACTAAAATAAATGGTCTAAAGGTTTCCTACGATATACTAAACTTACCTAGGACTTTTTATCAGTTAGAAAAGAGGTCCTAGGTTTTCTTGCGCCTCTTGGGATGGTGGCTTGGAGGTTATCGAACATTGCACATGTATTACGAAGAATTTTTACTTTGCGTATTACGATGTGCCTGACGATCAGGTTTATCTGGGAATGTTTTAGTCTGTTACACTCCACGCGGCCCTGAGAATACGTTGCATTGATGATAGTATGACTGAATACAACAATGACAGCTTGTGCCACTTTCGAGATCTTTTGATATCCAGCTGTGATGTATTTGAGGTATTGAACACACCAAGCAGGAACGGTAAACCAACGAAACAACAACCGCCAATCTTTATCTGATATCTGATTGACAATGCTGTTATCACTCCGGCCTCAATGATATTGTACATGAGACATATACGAAAAACGCCCGTTTTATCATCATGTTTGACAGTCCAGGGTAGGTTCACAAGATTCGACTCAACGTTGTATGTGCTTGACCTTACACTTGCGTCCCTTTCCGTCCGCTCTCCCGACAATTCCATCCAAGCCACGGTACACAAGAACTATACGAATTTCTCTTTATGATCTGATATGTCCAGCAGAGATGATCTAGCAGCCACGTGAAAGACGACCGCCGTTCGTAGCAAGCGGCATTTCTGACACGCTACCAAGCAATGGCTCGGCCTTATGTCGTTAACCCATGTTTCAACCCCAGCCTTTCTGCACCCCACAGAGCCATGTCTTTGGATGAAAAAAGAACACTGTGGTGCCAGCCGTGACACTTGGGGGAATACTGCACTGTAGACTAGGTACCTGTCTGCTATGTGTCAACAGGGTGACAATGAAACTTGACACTATCTAAATATATTCGGCGGAGTCTCCATTGTATGATGATCTGATGGCTATAACACAGATCTTGTTATCGCATTTGACAGGACGCAAAGGAACCCTCATCAGTGAGTGCACATACTCCCGAAAAGGGCGGGATAACTAACATTCTGTCGTACCGAGTCTTGTTGTACCAGGCCACAAGTGAATACGCCAAGCAAGCACCGTCGCATGACCTGAGAAACTCGCTGTTGGTGATGTGATGGGCAGTAGAAGTCCAAGGTACTGTACGCATCAACCAATCGCCGACTCAAATCAAATCAAATCAAATCAGAATGTCTACAACTCCTGTCTCTGGCTGTGTTTTCGGCTCCCGAGCGGCTGAACCCGGTCTCGTGGGAAAGGGTTCAAGTAATTAATCAGACCATATTTGAAGCTTAAAAAGCCCCATAACAAAGAGAAAGAAAAACTCGCTTGTGGTATCCCCCATTCTTTGTTCAGAGTCATGAACTTGACTTGGCTCTCTGCCTACAAGGGTTGTCCGTTGGTCAAGTATTCAGTACCGGACCCGGACTAAAACCCCGGGGTGATTTGTCTGGGGGAAACTGGAGACTGTGTGACTCTGCACGTTGCTCAAAAGTACTGATTACGCAATCAGGTTGAGTGAAGGGACTTGTCTCTACAGTCTGGGGAGAAAAGGGAAAGCGGTGCTAGGCCGGGGTAAGCGCTGCATGGCGGCGGCGCTGTTGAGGGTTGGAGTGGCTTAGTGCGGGAGACAGTGTTCTGACTGTGCTCTTGGCGTGAGAGTGAACTGCAATGTTCATCCGATCATCCTGAAGGAGTTTATGGTGGAGTTGCTGATGGTTCGGGTACTAAACACGATCAACAACTCTATAATTAACATTATTTATTGAGAGGTTGGAAGACACAATGGCTTGCATGAGAACGACCTGATTTCGAATCCAAATTTTCGGAATACAAGTTCATACCATGTTCTTACAGCGGAATATTACCGAGAGTTATCACCCTTGAACTGAGATGCATGAATGCAGCTAACAGCGGAGTGTCCTCGGGGCCCGAAATATGACAAGAGAGCTTCTTTGTTTCTCAAGACCTATCATCCCGTCTCTGTGACAATAATGTTGACAATGCCCCTTCCTCAAGTCTATGATATGTAAATTCCCATCATAGAATCCTCATAATGAGTTCGGTCCTACCCACAGCCACATAAATCTGTATACGAATTTCCTGATTTTCTTGCATTTCTAGCTTGCGTACTCTGTACGACATGAAACTATGGCTTGGTCGTTTATGAGCTGAAAAAATGAAGCTCCCCTGTTTCTCTCTCAGGTCTTGCTCGGACAGGGACCGTGCCAATGTGACTCAGTTTCAGAATCGGGAACTCAAGACAAGCTCGAGGGCAGTGCTTGGATTGCTTCGCGTGCTGTGTAAGGTGAAAATAATGTCCTGAACCGTGATGCTTGTGTGATGATACCAGCGACGTCTTTTTTCTGAAGGTATCCATCCTTTTGCTGGAGTGTTTTGGCTGATTTTGAGGGGAATCGCACTGTAGACTCGCTTAGCTCAGCCAGTCTACGCTCGTTCCAGTGAAAAGAACCCACTGGGATGGCTTGACGAGGTTCCAGTGGCTGCAGGTCAGAGAGCCAATGCTGAAGCTTGACTGGATGAGGAATGGTCAGGCTTTGGAGTGATGATCATTCCTGCTTTTGCCTCCTTGTCTGGAGATGGGAGTCTCTCGCCATTCATGTCTGCCCCTCTCTGTGGTCTTCCTTTTGAGTCTCTTCTGATAGTTTAATGGAAGACGCCTTGAGCACCAAGGCTCAAACTTAACTATCGACTCTGCTATTTCATCTATTCTATCCCCTTCTCTTTTCACATTTGGTTATGTGCCACGTGCTCTCCCCTCTCCTTTTAAAGACTAGCGAACCTGGAGGCATTGACTTTGACCATTACAGCACCAAAAGGTATTCCGTACCCAGTGCGAGGTCTAGCACTATAACGGCCGGGCTAGAAGGTCGACCAGTGGCCAGTCCCATCCAAATATTACCCACACGGAACCGCCCAATGTCCCCCCGTTGATCTTCTCAACCCTTCAACCTCCACCAAAATCTCGCCGACCCGGAGCCTTTCGCTCTTGATACCTCTGACCCTGGATTGACGACTTCAACACCCGACACCATGGCCATTGCCATGGGCTGGCAGAAACCCGACAATGTCGCGGGCTCGTCGGCGCCGGCCATCATGGTCGGTCTCTTCGTTGCCTCTGGCGGGTTGCTGTTCGGCTACGATACTGGGTAAGACTGACCACCATTTTCTTTTGACTTTGGATGCCTTTGGATATGGATGGATCACGACATACGATTCTCGAAGTCGCTACACCAACGATGTTGCTCATGAGGGAGATACCGGGACCCATCGACGATACTTTATTCGATTTGACGATGCGACGACTGCCACGGACTCGTGTGACATGCATGACGAAGCCATCACCACATATATCTCAAAAGAACGCAAGGCAATATCGCCGGAGGAAGTGCAAGAAGGAAAGCGAAACAAGGGCGATGTACGAAACGGCAGCGACTTGTCTCGACGAACCTCCCACGAGAAACTCCGACTCGATTCTCCGACCACGGACTTGTCCATACCAGCCCATTTCATCGCGTCACATCATTTTGACAGCCAGAAACTAACCATATCTCTTCACAGAGCCATCAACGGCATCCTTGCCATGACAGAGTTCAAGGAACAATTCGGAAAGCACACAAATTGCCACGACGAAAAGGGCGCCCTCGACATTTGTACAAAAGACTCATCTATTATCGTCGCCATCCTCAGCGCTGGCACTGCCCTCGGTGCTCTACTTGCTGCACCCACTGGCGATTCTCTAGGCCGTCGCAAGACCCTTCTTGTGGCCGTGGGCATCTTCTGCCTCGGTGCCATCTTCCAAGTTTGCGCTAACAATATAGATTTGTTACTGGTTGGGAGGTATGTGCACCTCATCTCTTATATGGAAGACCATATCGTTAATAATGTCTCTAGATTTCTCGCTGGCATTGGTGTCGGCCTCATTTCGGTCCTTGTTCCATTATATCAGTCTGAAATGGCACCAAAATGGATCAGAGGTACCCTCGTCTGCGCATATCAACTATCAATTACAATTGGCCTCTTCTCCGCCTCTGTAGTCAACATTCTCGCCTCTAAACTCAAAGATTCCTCCGCTTATCGTATCCCTCTCGGCCTTCAGATTGTGCCAGCCATTATTCTTACCGGCGGCTTATTATTACTACCGGAAACACCCCGTTTCCTTGTTAAGAAGGGCCTTCACGCCGAAGCCGGTCTTTCACTCAGTCGACTTCGACGACTAGACATTACACATCCAGCGCTCGTTGACGAACTGCAAGAAATGATAGCAAACCACCAATACGAATTAACATTAGGACCCGACAGTTATAAAGACATCTTTATTGGTTCCCCACACCTTGGTCGACGAACATTTACTGGTTGCGGTCTCCAGATGCTTCAACAGCTCACCGGTATTAACTTCATAATGTACTACAGCACATCCTTCTTTGACGGTGCCGGCGTCGAGAGCCCATACACCAAATCGCTTATTATCAACGTCATCAATGTTGTCTCGACAATACCAGGCCTGTTGGTTATCGAACGCTGGGGTCGACGAAAGCTTTTGATGATCGGAGCCATTGGAATGGCCGGCTGCCAACTCCTTATGGCGTCTTTCGATACTGCGACAGGGCAGAGTTACGAGAAAGCATCGCAGACCATTCTCATCACATTCTGTGCTATCAACATCTTCTTCTTCGCTGCTTCTTGGGGACCCGTGGTGTGGGTCGTAACATCAGAGATTTATCCCCTCAAAGTCCGTGCAAAGGCCATGTCGGTTTCAACAGCGTCAAACTGGCTTCTCAACTTTGGTATCGGCTACAGTGTACCTTTCTTGGTTGGATCAGGGCCAGGCAACGCCTCCTTTGGGCCAAAAATTTTCTTCATTTGGGGCGCCTTTTGCATTCTGGCGGTCTTCTTTGTGTGGTGTAACGTGTACGAAACAAGTAAGATCAGCCTGGAACAGATCGACGAGATGTACGAACGAGTGAACCACGCATGGAATAGCAAGTCATTCGAACCGAGCTGGAGTTTCCAGCAGATGCTCAACGATGGTTGGTCACCGAGCGCCCAACCACCTGCAGGCCACGAGCTGCAAACAACGACGACTGCATCAAGCGCAGACACAACTTTGGGTGACGGTGACGCATCATCAATCACCGTGAATCAGAACAATAACAACAACGGTTCATCGCCTAGTAACAACAACAACAACAATGACCAGAACAAGGGTCCACCGCCGATGGCCATGGCCAATGTCGACTTCAGCTATTAGGCTCCACGTCGCCGAATTGTTTGTCTAAATTGCGTGTCTTTTGCCTGGACGTCACATAAGGAATCAGCGATGGAGTTCATGACGAGGTGGAGTTTGTGGGGTTTACGCGTTATTGTCATGGTCATTGATGATTTCATTCTCATTTTATATGGATTCTGTTTCTTTGTTTGTTGCCCATCACATCAACTCAAATCGTCCCTCAGCCTGGGGCTACGGATGGACTATCGGTACTGGGGACTTGGCTGGGCTGGATACCAAACTCTTGGCTCTTGGACATCTTTTTCATGATTTACCTACCATCTTTTTCAGGGAGTCACAGTGTTTTACATCGTCGATGAATGGATGCCCGGATACCCTGTGGGCAGCGGCTAATAGTCGAGAGGAGCGAAGTGACGGCGCATGGCCACGGATGGATTTCTTGGGGTTACAGAAAGGCTTGATATCGATCTGATTACCTGTCAGCTACCAAATACCAGCATTTTTGAGCATCTAATACGCTTTGTACTGTCTATCAATCCCTTGTGAGATCCTGGACTCTGTCGCTGGGTACATGAGTACGCTGTCGACCCTACTTGTCACCGGCGAACACGCCCCTGTGCACTATGTCACTGGAAGTCTGTGGCCTTGTTCTTCAACCAGGCACTGAAACTGCCTTGCGCTTGACTCTGGTCACTGTTGGCAATACGTGAACAGTCGGTCAAAGCGTGCTTTGAGCTGCCTCTCAACCCAAAGATAAAAGCTTCCCATACCTTCGTTCCTAACCCTTTCTACCTAATAAGCTTTCTTTCCCACAAACCTTCTGACGTCTCGCACAAATCTCCAGTTGACATCTAAGCAGTCTATAACCTTATAATTTATACTACTACTTCTTTCGCTACTTACACCTGCTTAGAGGAACCTCAGCGACTTGACACCTATATACCTTTGACAGGTCCGTAGTTGCGACACCCATAACATTTCTATACACTCCCTGCCTCTGTCAGAAATCTGTCCAGCATGTCGGATGTTTCTGACGCCCTCGACCGCGTCCACCCAGACTTTCTTGACTTGTTGATCCGTCATGAGCTCCTACCCCCTGAAGGAGACGACGGCTTCTCGGAGCCATACCTGGCCAGGTTAATTTCCATCGCTCTAGAACTTGCAGAGGATGATGAGCAGGCATTCCTGGTCGGTAGAATTATTACCGAGGAAGAGTTAGCATTTGAGCGACTGCGCAGCCCCGAAGTTCGCAATACCAACCATCGAGTCGTGCTGGATCGAACCGAGAGGAGAATTGCTTTTCGTGAAGCCGCAAATGACCCTGCACCTGAACGAGGAAATGGCGAGGACTGCATGATCTGTGGCGATGACGCTCACTTTAGAGCTCTTTGCGGCCACAATTACTGTTTACCTTGCTACCGTGAAGCTATTCGAGTCGGTCTTCGTTCCCAAGAAGAGTTTCCGCCGAGATGCTGCGAGCCTATCACTGAGGAGGGTGTTGCACTTGCACGCGCCCCTGCTTTGGTTCATCTTTTCCGCCAGATGCGAGAGGAAGCTGATGTACCGATCCACGATAGACTATACTGCCATGACGGTAACTGCGCAGCGTTTATTCCACCTGGTCGTAACGGGCATTGTTTGTTATGCGACACACACACATGTCGCGACTGCGGTGAGCGAGGCCATCCAGGCCGGCCCTGCCGAGAGGGAGCTGCCGAGGAAGATGTCTGGGCCACCATGGACGAGAACCGGACCGTAAACTGCCCCGGGTGCGGCAGGATGATCGAGCTCGCAGAGGCATGCAACCACATGACATGCCCCTGCGGCCAAGAGTTTTGTTTTATTTGCGGTCGAGTATGGCATACCTGCAACTGTCCCGTCTATGGAGGCTTTCACCTTATGGTACCCATGAGGGATCGTCCAGGTAGGAAGCCGGAGCAGTATCGTCGTCGCCCACACCCTACTGAGGGGGCAGCAGCGGATAGGGCTGATGGAGCGCTGAGGATTCCACAGCTACGACCTATGCAGGGTGAGGAGGAGCGTGTTCCGCCCAGAGTCGGGGGACCGCGAAGGGTTATTCGGCCTCTGGTGTTGCCCCCTCCTGAGGAACCACAAGAACCACAGGAGCAGCGGCGTCGCGGGGAACATCACGAACAGGAACATCAGCATGGTGAAAGACATCATCACGGAGAAAGACATCATCATGGAGAAAGACGTTATCACGATGAAAGGAATCAAGACGCATATGAACGTGAGCGAAATCGCAGACGAGCCGAAAGACGAGCTGATGTGCCAATGGAGCCACGCAGAGTTGAACCTCTAATGGTAGGTCATCCACCCGACGCCCCTCGCCTACGTAGGGTGTCTAGAAACAGGGCTCACGCGGGAGATATGAGAATAGCTAACCACATCGTCGATGTACAGGGTGGATATGCGCCTCAAATACGAATGGATCGCCGGCGGGACGATGGCCGTGCCGCCATGGAAGCCCTCATGCCTGGTATGGGCCGCATGCAGATCAACGAGCAGCGCATTGAGAGACCACCTGCAAGAGATGATCGCCGCCTTCCCAGGCTGTATCGGAATGAGATGGATGCACCTCAAATAAACTACCAGGGCCGATTTTACAACGAGAGGGATGCGCCTCAGATGAACGTGCCGCGCCGACCTTATAACGTGATGGATGCACCTCAGATAGACAGGTCTCGCCGTGAAGCGGCATACGACGCGATGGACGCTGAAGCCAGGCGCATAAACCAAAATCGGCTACTTGCGATGAATCGCGAAGCGGCTCGCCTGGCGGCGCAGGATCCTCCCCGCCAGCAGGGCAGGAATCGCCAAGGCCATTATAGAGACGATGTTTATGGAGAAATATTGATCGATTCCGACGATGATCTATACGGTGACGATCGAGGCTACGATACTCGTCGCCCTCGTTATTGAGCAGGGTAAGAAGAGGTCGATGTCGTTTTTGCAAATCGCAGCGTCTTGAAGGTACAGAGCTTTGGCTCAACTCCTAACTTGGTCTCTGTAGAACCTTCCCCTATGCCAGTCGAGGGCTGGTATTGCAATCGCGATAGGTAAGAGGTGAGAGGAAGTCTTAGACGTTGAGAGCGTGGTAACATGCCGCGGGCAGGGCTCATTCGTATGATGGGCTTTACTCAAGATATGGCGACATTTGGCGTTTTACGTATATACGGGGGTGAAATAGCTTATTGCGATACACGAGGGAATTAAAATTTATGGCTCTATCTTCTCTTCGAGACTGTTTTACCACTTGCTTCTACGCGACCGATGATTCTTAAATTGTATAGTTGCTCGTGACTATGCAACTCCTCGATATTATCTAACTTGCCAGCGCAACATAGGGCTGTTTGATATGAACCGATAAAAGAAACTCGCTCTGATAGGCTCAATATTCTAAAGGTAGCCATTTAATGTGTATATAAGAGAAAAAAGGTCTAGAACAAAGGCGTTTGCTTGAGTGACGTACATCAGACAACAACTATGGGACTTTTACAACGCAAACAGGTTTATGGCAATGAAGACATACAAAAACACGAACTGTTCATTTTTAATCATTTTACCTCGTTACTAATACTCACTTAGAACTCTTGCTAAGACTCTTCTTGATCTCTGCCACAACCGCAGCCGTGACCTCCTTAGTAGTCGCCTTTCCACCGAGATCCTGGGTGAGAACACCTGAAGCAGTGACATTCTCAACACACTCCATCAACTTGGTCGAAGCCTCTTCTTCACCCAACCATGCGAGCATTTCAGCTGCTGTCCAGAAAGTGGCGACTGGATTGGCGACGCCCTTGCCGGTGATGTCGAATGCAGAACCGTGGATAGGCTCAAACATAGATGGATTCTCGCGGCTGGGGTCGAGGTTGCTTGTTGGTGCAATGCCGATTGAGCCAGCGAGGGCAGCAGCAAGATCAGAGAGAATATCAGCGTGCTAGAGTATGTTAGTTCGATGACTTCCAAGGTAGAGGAAAGATGACTTACCAAGTTGCTAGCAACAATAGTATCGATGCTCTCAGGCTTAAGAACCATCTTCGTAGTCATAGCATCAACCAACATCTTCTCAACAGTAACATCGGGAAAGTCCTTCGCAACCTCCGCGGCAACCTCATCCCAAAGAACCATGCCGTTCCTCTGCGCATTGCTCTTGGTGACCACAGTCAAATGCTTTCTGGGTCTCTTCTGCGCAACCTCAAACGAGAACCGAATAAGTCTGCTAACAGCGTGACGAGTGAAGATGGCGACTTCTGTGGCAACTTCCCAGGCGTGACCGCGGTGTGAACGACCGCCTTGGCCGGCGTATTCACCTTCGCTGTTCTCGCGGATGATGACCCAGTCGAGATCGCCGGTTTTGCAGTTACGCAGGGGAGATTGTGTGCCGCGCATGATGCGTGTTGGGCGGACGTTGGCGTATTGCTGGAAGGGCTGGCAGATTGCCAGACGAAGACCCCAGAGGGAAATATGATCAGGAACATCTAGTAAAATGAGTATCAAGTTTCATCAGAACATTTAGTAAGACTTACCAGGAGCTCCAACGGCACCGAAGAGGATGGCATCGTGCTTCTTCAACTGCTCAAGACCACCGTCTGGAATATACTTTCCAGTCTTCTTGTAAGTATCCGAACTCCAGTCATAGTGAGTAAAGTCAAGATCAAAAGTCTGGAGAGTATCGGCGAGAGCGTTTAAAGCCTCGATACCAGCGGAAATAACCTCAGGACCGATTCCATCAGCTGGGATGGAGGCGATACTGTAGGACTTCTTGGCGGTGACTGCGGAGGGAGACATGATGAGTTTGTAAAGACTTGTGATGTGAATTGAAGATGTTGATGAGTTGTATACGATAGATATGTTATACTTATATATACGAAGATGTCGGATTGAGAGTATGTTAGTCTTGGCTTTGTGTGGAGGCGAGCGGACTTAGAAATGTCCGCGACAACACGACATCGCCCGGACCGGGAAAGGAAGTGAGCGGCGCTTCAAGTCCGTTGCGATTGACGCTTTTCCGTGAATAGTGGCTTATGATGCGGGGAATGATTGTCCATCATTTAGAAGAGCCCAAAGTAGGCTATGAGGGACTTTCCCTTCCTTTGTCTTCCATGATATCTTGAGGGATAATATTTTTATCGATCACTTACTCTTTCCTCGTAAATTTCATCACGAAGGACCCAATATCTTCCATTCCACCAGCCATGATTGATCCGAAAGCTATTGATACGGTGCTGGACATCTTTGTCCCTGCTATCCAAGTCCATCGGAAGAATTCCCCAAGACCATTCGTTCTAGGTCTTTCTGGTCTTCAAGGCAGTGGAAAATCGACATGGGCTGCAGCTCTTTCACAAGCCCTCACGAATCAACACAATCTCAAGACCCGCATGGTATCCCTGGATGATCTCTATCATGACCATCCAGAACTTGTGGCCCTTCGAGAAGCAAACCCAGATAATGGTCTTCTCCAAACTCGTGGCCAGCCTGGAACTCACGACGAAGTTCTAGCGAAGAACTTCTTCGATCAAGTACTTGGTCGCGTTGAGAGTGATGAGAAGGTTGTCAGATGGCCAGCTTTTGACAAGAGCCTTCATAGTGGTCAAGGTGGAAGGGTTCCCGTTGAGAAATGGGAAGAAGTTCCGCTAGACGACGGCCTTGATGTTCTGATTTTTGAGGGTTGGGCACTTGGCTTCAAACCTTTGACTGACGAGGAAGTCAAGAGGAAGTGGGAGGAAGCTAAAGCTTCTGAGGCACAGCAGTCTGAAGAATGGGCTCTTACGAACACGCTGGCGAGCCATGATCTGAACCATCTTCTGCTCATCAACAAGAACTTGAGAAGATATTGCGAGACATTCGCTGGACCACAGCACTTTGATGGATTTCTACACCTGAGTACAGATAAGCTCGTCCAGGTTTACGAGTGGCGGCTAGGCCAGGAGAGGGCGTTGAGGCAGCACAAGCCAGGCATGACGGATGAGCAGGTTATCATGTTTGTCAAGGGATATATGCCTGCTTATGAACTGTTTCTCGAACGTCTTCAGAACGAGAACTTCTTCAAAGGCCAGGGGCCTAGTGAGAAGAAGCATATACAAGTGGTATTGAATAAGAACCGGGAGGTTGTTCAGGTGAAGGAGGTATAATATATTAATATTAGTCATACTATCGTAAATAGTTCCAAGTTGGATCAACAGAAGCATCAAACTCCGCGTTTACAAGAAAGGGATTGTCGATGGCACTGAATGAACTCGCAAAGAGCTGATCATACCACATCATTGATTCATGGCCTTCTAGCGGTATGTTATCCAAATTCATACCAGGTGCTCCTTCTGGATTTAGTGATGTGCTTGGTGTAGACAGAAAGTCATTGGAATATGGCGCCTGAGGATTTTGGGGCTGGGAGTAGGGTATGTCTTGAGATATGATACCCGTAGAATGATACGTCGTCCGTGGTCGTTTATTCTGTTGTGGTCTGAAGGGTTGAGTGGAGGATAGTCCTTGGAATGCTTGGGTATTCGAAGAGGTGTTTTGAGGAATAGGGTTTGGGCTGTCTCTTGTTTCAGTGCCTTGAGATTGAGCATGTTGTGTTCTTGGAAGTCTTGTAGGGGTAGTGTTCTCACCACTCCGTACTTGACTTCCGACACTTGGAGAGAAACTACGTGTTGTGATGATTGCATCTACCGGAGATTCAATCATCGTTGGCCGCTCTTGGGAGAGCTCTTGAACGGTGGAAGTCAACTCGTCTATGGCCCCAAGACAGTATTCTGGCCAGGAAGTGTCTCGTGCAGCCAGATGACCGAGTATGTCCTTGGCCGCAGCAACATGCCTAAAAGAGTCAGTGAATAATGAAAGACTGGAGAAGGAAGGTGACATACCTCATTGCGCTACCCAGATGGACCTGCTTTTCAAAGGCAGCATGAATAAGAACAAATGCACTGATCCAGATAGACCACGTGAAGGAAGGCCACAACAAGGGTGTTTGAGACTTCGCACTAGTTGGGTCTACAGATAACTGGTGGCGGTTTCGATGTTTCTTGAGAATTATCAAGATAGACTTAGCAGCTGAGATGCATGCCTGGAAGGCGGACGAGTATGATGAAGAAGGATGTTCGGAAGCGAGGCCAGGTCTGTTCAAGCATATTGCTGATTCGTGCTTCAGAACCAAAAGCATAACCTTGTGATGCTCGGATATTGCGGGAGCAGTTGCCCCAGTATCGGCTAAGTCGTCCTCTTCTACAGCGTCTTGAATTTCGTTGAACCATTTAGCCAGCTCAGCTTGGACGAACGCTGCTCGATCTGCGGTATCTTGTCGTTGAAGCATGGACTTGTTCCTGAGCTCAAGAATGAGTCCACGTATACGAGCATGCTTCGCCACGAACGTAAGGAGCTGTAATCTTTCCGGATTCTCTTCCCTGTTGGTTATTGTGTGGCGCTCCTCGCCGGGATAACAGACATCTAGGTCGTCATCTCGGATATCGAGAGGTAGTCCAAGAGACTGGCAGAGAAGCCTTTCTAGGATGTAGATACACCAGAAAACCCTGCGTCGAACCGAAACTTCCTTGTCTGTGAAGAAGGGATATCGCGCTGGACATCGATGAAGGCCCATGTGAAATGCAGTCCTAACAATAAGTCCACCTAATCTCGATGCGGCGTTGAGACAAAGCATCGAAGTCAGGAACAACTGGATAGCCAAAGCTGCCTGTGTTGAGCGGATTGACGCAGGCTGGCTCAAAGCAAACTGCGAGCTCGCCAACGCATCGTCGACACTGTTGAAGAGGTATAGTTTCGGAATCGGCTTTTTGAAAGCAGCGGCCTGTCGACTATCCGCCAGCGATATAGAAAGAACAGACCTCAAGATGACTGTATCTACAGGGTCAAGCAATAGCATTCCATTCTTAGCAACCTCTTCAAACAACCCCAGGACTTGAGGCCCGTGAAGGAACGGAAGAACAGGATGCCAAGCCTCGAAATAACTCTTGGACCACTCGACAAAGTCTTCAAAGCTCTCTCCCCTGGGCGGGACATCATCGCGGACTTCATCATCTCTCCAAAGAAACTGCTCTCGATTTCTTCTTCTCGAAGCATCCTGACGAAGTTGATCGTCCTCACCGGGAATAAGCGTATTGATAGCCGAAGACCCAGGTTCTGTAGTTCGTGATGCAGATCTCTTGGCAAGGCGAAGATGAACAGCACGAATATAGTGGATTCCGCTACCGCTTCCTACGAATCGAGCGGCATCGTGTTCACCTGTATCGCGCATCAATCCATATTCGCGTCCGGGTTGAGAAGTCGAGTATTTCCGTTTCTGGCCTTGAGGTTCTGAATGACCTAGGGTTGAGTGTGATGCTGTCTCGATATTATCGTACGGTGAGTGATGAGAAGACATCTTTACATCACATCCTCAATGCCAGGCTGTGAAATCTGGATGAATTGACGATGCTGGGGACTGCCGTGCTAAGCTGAGCTGAAGCTGCAAAGGTGCTAGTGCCGCGCCGGACAAAGAAAAGGCCGAGGCGGGGTTGAACAAGTCATTCTGCCTGTGGAGCGACGTTTTGACTCTGGGGAACCCGATCGATTACAGATGCTGCATAAGGATTAGTCCTTGTGTAAGTGAATTGTTTACATGGCGAATAATGAGGTGTCGGTTGAGTGTGAGCAAGAGGCTGAGAGGCAGTTGAACCCGATAGCGTGCAGTCATTGTCGGCAGCGGAAGCGCAAGGTGAGATCTCGTGCCCCAGTCACAATTCTGGGGAAAAAGGGAGTGCCTTTTACTAAACTGAGAACTCGCTAGTGTGATAGGCAATTGTAAGTGTTTCATATGCTCATCGGAGAGATCGTCGTGCTAACGGCTGCTCAGGCCGCATTGTCTGCAATGCACCAACGATCCCACCAACTGCCATTACCCAGAACAAAACAAGAGGTATCACCACCATGCTCACTCATATGGACCACTATAAATACTGATGAGATACTAGAGGTCTCCCAATTGGGTTTATTACCAGACTAGAGACGCGTCTTGCAGAGACGGAAGAAGCTCTCTTTCGGCTTGTGCACTCTATCGATGAGCCTAACAACAATCACACCTCACTCAAGCCTTCATCACAAAGGAAAGATGACCGTATAAGAGAATGGGATAGTCTTCCCCTTAGAAATGCGGATGAAATAAGAGCATGGTATCGAAATAGATCAGAGCAAACCCACACGCCAGCCCAACACGACGCTTTGATGGATGAAGACCAACGTACACGATCTATCCATGCCACACCACCCGAGCCAGAGCCCGTGGACTTCCCCGATGACGCTGGAGATGACCAGGGAGAAACAATTACGTTGCAAGATGCTGATGACGATGTTATGCCAAGGAATGATATCCATATTCAGGAGGAGTCTGGTGGAAGCAAAGCTGAGGAGATGGAACAGAAACATCCAAACATGTACTTTTAGAGCATCTATTACTTAATACCACGTCACTGCTGATCTTAAACGACCTAAAGAGCCCCCCAAAACTCATGGATAATCTTCGTATTGTCTCTTTGTCTGCTCTGATAATCTCTATTCTAACTCAAAAGCCTTTCACCATGGACACTCTGTCTCGTACCATGGTTTGCCATAGTTACCAGACCTAGCTTTGATCTAATTGTCGAGCAAACCTTTCAAGCTATTTTGGTCGAAGGATTTCTTGCGGGGAGCCAGCTCCAACGGTGATCACATCAGATGACAGGTTGTCAGGATGATGGCTGTCTTAGACCTCTCTTGAAAGCGAAGTCCCAGTTATGTAAAAGGCCTGATTAAGGCCATTCAAACCCTCTGATTCTAACTTTAGTTGGGCATTAACAGGAGCTATGCATTGTTATTTTTGTTTGCCTACAGCTCTTAAGTACGTGTTGTTATTATGGATCAAATTTTAGATTATCAAAATCGTGTCCACGCGTCGAAGGATCAAACCATCTCACCATATTGAATACCTAGTCTCAAACATTGAAAGTAGTTTTCAGTTATAGGAGAAGATATTTACTATCATAGGAAAAAGTCTATTCTTAATCTGCAGCTCTAGGATCATTGGGCATAAATTGCATTGTTGATACCAGCAAGCATCGCAAAGCAACAAATCCCGTGCTTCAAGGCACATTTTATCCTGATGGTAACTTATTAGCCACGTTTAGTATAAACTGCTCTGTCCAAGAACCTAATAGATTGGTGACTTCAGATGTTAGTCAAAGTGAGGCCTCTGGAAATTTTCGGCCATTGGGCGGCTTGATGAGGGCGTCACCATTAGATAATGGCTTCCCTTAGCAAAATGGCGTCCACTAGTAGCCAGCTCGAGCGTTGGGTTGAATGCCAGCATAGCTTTCTAAGCTACCACATCTCACAGTATGAAGAGCCATTATGCAACAATGGCAGAATCGGGTCAAGACCCGAGGAAGGATCATGAAGAGCCGAAGTTCCATCTGCATGAGATATCGCCTTTTGGTGGCCGATTACGTATGACTTCAGCTCCAGAGAATCCGCTATACAGAAGAATCTGACATGCAATACGGTACACTTCAAGACATCGGGGGCGGGAAAACACAGTACGGTAATGTCCGCCGCTGGTAAGACTGAGCTGTAAACCATCCTTCAATCCAGCTGATGCACCACCATCTCAGCTCCAATGACCATCCTCGAGGGATAAGCCATGGCGTAGTGCGCATGGTTTTGAATGACCGCTTATTGCCATGCTAAGGCTTAGTACGTGACACCAAAACTCTGTCTGTCTGTAGTAAGCTGATATTTTCCGTTGCACAAGTATCATTATGACCGACAGCCCGATGGATGCTCGGCGTAAGCTGTCCTCACTTGGAAACAGAGCTCCATCTGAGCTGCTGCGCCATGGCCCCCGAAGAAAAATTAGACTCGGCAGTGAGCTGAACCGAGGAAATTGTCGAGTTTAGTGACAATAAGCTTGAATCTTAGTCTATCGAGGCTTTCCATTCTAAATGCCGCAGACCCGAACAGCTCTCCCCCGAAAACAAGTAAATCATAAGCTACACTTGACTAGACCTACTGCTCCAATGATTGACCATCTTGACCATCCACCAAACCGTGGGAATGTTGGCAATAGCTTCGACAGCTCAAGCTAAATGCCACTAAAGGCGACACAGGGCTGTAAAGGCCAGTCCAGACCATCCGGACGGCGCAGTTACCATTTGCTGCGGAAAAAAAACTCACTTTACCTAATTTGCACCGAGCCCTTAAGCTTAAAATAGGGCTAATGTGATCTTGGGGCTGGGGGGCTGAGCCCGATCTGACGGCTTACTCTGGTGAGGGCTGTGAGACATCACAGCCTCCTCCGCTGGGAGTCGGAGACTAAGCATGCAGACACTTACTGCATTCAGACAGCTTCACTTGGGATGCAAATCTTGTATAAGAGAGCAACGAATTCTCGTCGAAATGGATTTCTTCTTCTCATCATCACATCACAAAACATCAAATCAACAACTTTTTCCCTTTTTCTCTTATTTCCTTATTTCCTTTGTCAGGTCTTATTTCCTTACAAACCTTCGCTTCTTCTCAGTCGTCTGTCACAGTTTCTTCGTCGCTTTCCAAACAAAAAACTGTTTTAATTTTTCGACAATCTCATACCATTATGCATTCTACAATCTTTGCTCTTGTTGCCGTTGCTGGCTATGTCTCTGCTGGACCTACCGCCCGCTCTCAGACTGAGTGTTCGGGTGTTGGCCAGTTCTACACTTGTGCGAACAATGGTTTCCGCGGTTATTGCTCCGTTGATCCTTGTGCCATAAAGTGGTGCACTGATTTCGTCGAGGGTACTTGCGATCCCGTCTTTATCACCAAGCCTGTTGTTGCTACCGAGACCGAGGAAGAGGAAGAAGAGCACTGGGAGCCTGAGACTACTCCTGCTTCTCTTCCTGAGGGCCAATGCGCCCCCGGAACTGGTTTCTTCCAGGTCTGCTCCAACGGGTTCAAGGGCTGCTGCAAGTCCGACGCCTGTGCTGGCAAGGACGCTGTCTGCCCCGATGACAAGAAGGTCAAGCGCACTGACGACCCTACTGTCTGCGCTCCCGGTACCGGTTTCTTCCAGTCTTGTTCCAACGGCTTCAGAGGCTGCTGCAAGTCTGACGCTTGTACCGGTACCGCTGGTGTCTGCCCCGACAACAAGTCCGAGGCCCCCAAGCCCAAGCCCAAGCCTGAGACCTGGGAGCACAAGCCTGAGACTACCACTGAGACTGCTCCTGCTTCTCTCCCTGATGGACAGTGTGCTCCTGGTACCGGCTTCTTCCAAGTCTGCTCTAATGGCTTCCGCGGCTGCTGCAAATCTGATGCTTGCACTGGCAACGCTGGTGTCTGCCCCGATCAGAAGACCAAGCGATCTGACGACCCTACCGTCTGCCCCCCTGGAACCGGCTTCTTCCAGTCTTGCTCCAACGGCTTCCGCGGCTGCTGCAAGGGCGATGCCTGCGGTAACACCTGGTGCCCCGACTACAAGACCGGCACCTACGAGCCCGCCCAGACTCTCAAGGTCAAGGCTCGCTCTGATGGTACTTGCCGCCCTGGTACCGGTTTCTTCCAGGTCTGCGCCAACGGCTTCAAGGGATGCTGCAAGAAGGACGCTTGCTCTCAGAAGAAGCCCGTCTGCCCCAAGTAAGAGGCATTCTTCTCTTCACATTTTCCAGTAATGGTTTTACATTGGCATAGCGTTGCATAGAACATTACTAGCGTGCATAGATAGATATGGTGTTTGTCGATTTTGTTTGGAACAGTCCTTTATGAGTTATTATGGCATTTGATTGAGCTACTATTCTTGATATTTACTTATTTAGAGCATTGATTTTGTCGGACACGATAAAAATCTAACTAATACACTCCTTTAAAAAAATCTTGAGTCTCTGCTAATTGATTCCGTGAGCCATTGATACGAACAGGGTCTCAAGCATTCCTTGTAAAGGCATCGCCTGGGTGACTACTCAATTACAAAACCGCTTAGCCATGTTCATCTTAGTGTAGCCTTTGTATTTTCTATTGACGAAAGCCTTCTCTCTGGGCCGTCGTCGACGAAGTAGTGCCAACGCAACAATCTCAAGACCCCCATCCAAGCCGCCACAACCAGGGCAGTGACACAACAAAGAAAACGTGTCAATTCCCAATAGCGAATATGGAAAATTAGTTCCCTTATGAACAGAGGGACTGCCGCAGCCAGGAGCAGTATTTGGTGCAGTAAAGCTCCCGTCACGGCTAATTTAAGTCGACTGATACTGCTTATCCATCCGCGGAAGAACAAGGGCAAGACAAACAAAGCCAGAGAGAGAAGTACCAGGATAGTTCGAAGGATATGGCTGTCAACTTCCCAAAGGCGCTCGGCATATATGAACCATAGCACAGCTTCCAGGTGCAACCAGAGAAAACTTGGTAGTATAAACTTGTCGAAGGCTCTGAGAGGTAGTCTGGTCTGAGGGGCATCGTGACTGTAGCCAGGAAGCTCGCATTCCGAGGTCATGAAGTCTGATAGGGGAGATAACATAGGTATTGCTTGCATGACTTCCAGCGTGACGATAATGTTGACGTCGTGATGATCTTGTTGAGTTGCGCGGGGTTGAGTCTTGGCTATAAATCTGGCTGAGCTTCTCAACCCTATGACGAATGTATAGCTTGGCATCTTGAAGTATCGAATTTCGCTACGGAGAAAGGGATTTAATTGAGTCTATTTGTATATATAATACACAAGAGTCGTAGCAATCATTACAATGATACTATCTATAAACCTGTCTAAGACTTAAACCTATCAGCCCCTGCCTTCAAGATCATCTGGAACAGCTCAACGTCTTTCCTAGCATCCGCCGCACTCGTCTTGGGCACTTTCCCTCCAACGACACAATCATAAAGATCTAGCATCTCCAATGTATACGGATCCTCATACGTCTTCCTGATGATCCTCTCCTGAAATCCACCTTCACCAATCTTCTCTCGAATCGCCATGATGACTGGCAGACCCTTGACATAAGGAGAGTCAAAGTTGACTCTCGCTATTTTGTTAGCTGAGTAGACTTCGATGTGTGCATCGAACTGAGGTACACCGCTGAGACCTGATTCATACGTGACGGGGAAGTCATCGTATTGGAATAGCACGCTGAAGATACCGGGGAGTGTTAGGACAGCGCCGGCTACGGATTTGGGCATGCCGAGAATCTCGCGCATTGCCGAAAGGTCGTGAGTTCCAAGACTATATCATCAAGTCAGCACTGATACTGTATTATACAGTGAAGATGACTTACGCTCCCAGAACTCTTAGCATTCTTTGTGACTGAGGTGTACTTGGCACTTCAAACTCTTTGACAAGAGCTTGTTCAAAGATATCAGCCTCCCGACGGCTCCTATCCTGGCCATCTTCCTCAGAGAAGTCATTGAACTTTTGAGGAAACGTGCCGTTCTGCTCAACGAAGGTAGAGTTAGGCCCAATGATGTCCCTGACTCTCGCATACTGAATCTTATCCATGCCCCCAACTTCTTCCACGGCATCGATGAAAGCAGTAGCGTAGCGTCGCATTGTCCCAACAAAGACCTTGCCCCTTGAAGCCTTCTCCGCCTCAATAAGTCTGTCTATGTCTCGGAAGCAAGTCGCAGCTGGTTTCTCGATAAGACAGTACTTGTCATTCTTGAGAGCGAGTATGCCATGTTCAACGTGGTATGCGTCAGCGTTGGCGATCAAAACCACGTCGACATCTGGTGAGGAGCAGAGTTCTTTAGGGTTGGTGGTTGTCTTGGGAGTACCGCCCTGGACTTTGATGGCGCAGTGGGCTAGAGCTTGTTTCGAAATATCGCAGAGATAGGTTGTTTGGAACTTGTGGGATAGGAAGTTGATGTTGGGAATATGAGCGACTTGCGAGATCTCACCGCAGCCGATGATTCCAACCCGAAGGATGCGATCTGATGTGCTTGACATGGTAATGCAGTGAAAGAGGGATTGAATGATTGATCGCGATGTCTTAGACTCCTGAAGACTGTAACAAAAAGGGTATAAGTTAAAGCCTAGATGTGTTGAAGTAAGAGCTATTTATCCTTCATCTCCTCTGTCATCAATACGTAGTCCCCAGTGGGTTGGAGTATCACTCCCCCATCTGCATTCCCCACATGCCGCTACTCCCCGACACCAAAAGAGCATTCAGCTCCGCTACTCCGCGAAAGGATCATGACTCGATCCCTGGCTTCGCACCATGCTAAAATGTAACCATACTTTATCTTCTTCCCCATGGGGTCACCCAGTTTCCTCGGTTACAGGGAACGAAAATCCGGGGTCTAGATGAGCTCTTGAATGCTTTAAAAGGAGCTTGTCATCCCCCTCTTGTGGACCTCTTCATTCCCGCAAATCATCAAGTTATTGTGGTTCTTTGACGCGTTATACTACCCGTCTCGATCTTGCATCTTCCACTCTGGCTTGGGATTATGGGTGTCTTTTCACGCAAGAAAGAAGCCGAATTGGCTGTTGGATCGGAGCTCTCACGAGTACGACATCCCATCTCCCACTCTCCCCCTCCCATTCGTCGTCTCACAGACTAACGGCTCTCCTACGCAGGTTCTCCCTCAGAATCCAAAGCCATGGTACATGACTTGGCATCTGATCAAGCTGAACCTATACCTTTTGGTCCCTCTATTTTCTTCCGCTTCCGTTGGCTACGATGGTATACTCTTTTTTCTCCTAAAGGTTCCAGGTCCAACTCTGACATGGGCTAGGATCAATGATGAACGGTCTCCAAACCTTGCCTCAATGGCGCGAGTTCTTCGGTAGTCCAGAGGGTGCCCTTCTCGGCCTAATGAACTCTGTTTATCCCCTTGGCAAAGTCGTCTCCCTCTTCGTGGTATCCTATGTCTGTGATCGCTGGGGACGTAAGCTCCCTATCCTTATTGGTCTCGTCACCTGCATTGGCTTTGCAACTCTGCAGGGGCTGTCGCAGAACCTGCACAGCTTCATAATTGCAAGAGCCTTGTTAGGTTTCTTCACCAGCTTCATCGGTCAACCTAGCCCTATCATCATTACTGAGCTTGCGTACCCAACTCAGCGAGGCAAAGTAACAGCTTTGTATAACACCTTTTTCGTAAGTCTGGATTCTATCACGTTTCGGGCTATTGTGCAGCATGCTAATCATGTATCTCGGATTTAGTACTTTGGCTCTATTTTCGCCGCTTGGTGTACTTATGGCACCTTCAAGAACCCGACGACTTGGAGCTGGCGAATCCCATCTCTCCTGCAAGGTGCATTACCTGTCATTCAGCTTTTGGGCCTCTATTTTCTCCCAGAATCCCCCAGGTAAGAACGTCGCATCAATCTACGATTTATAAGAAGCTGACATAACCGACCCAGATGGCTTGTTTCCAAAGGCCGCAAAGAGCAAGCTAGAAAAGTCCTTGCTGAGTTCCACGCAGGCGGCGATCTCGAGTCTCCCCTCGTCGAATTCGAGATGCAAGAAATCGAGCTGGCACTTACCCAGGAAGCCGACGCTATTTCTGCCGTCTCATGGGCCGAATTATTCCGCACTCCAGCCAACCGCAAGCGCACGCTTATTGCTGTTATCGTTGGTTGGTTTGCTCAATGGAATGGTGTCGGAGTCGTCAGCTATTATCTTGTTCTGGTTCTCAACACGATCGGTATTACCAAGGTTAAGGACCAGACTCTTATCAATGGACTTCTTCAGATCTTCAATTGGCTCGCTTCGACTTTCCTGGGAGCCATGATGGTTGATCGACTCGGGCGCCGGACTCTGTTTCTGCTCTCCACGGGTGGCATGCTTGTCTCTTATATCATTTGGACCGGCCTTACGGCGCATTTCGTCAGCAGCCATGATGAGTCGACAGGCCGTGCAGTGGTTGCTTTCATCTTCATCTTCTATCTATTCTACGACATCGCCTGGACACCACTTCTCCAAGCCTACCCTGTCGAAATCTTTCCGTATACCCTCCGAGGACGTGGCCTTTCCATCACTTATATCTCATCTTTCACTGGTCTCATTGTCGGCAACCAGGTGAACCCAATCGCCATGAAGGCTATCACTTGGAAATACTACATTGTCTTCTGTTGTATCCTTGCAGTTCTTTTCGTCATTATCTGGTTCTTGTTCCCCGAAACGAAGGGCCATACGCTTGAGGAGATCCGAGAAGTCTTTGAAGGAAAGTTGGATGACCAGGATAAGTTGGCCAGGGTTGAATCGGCTATTGGAGAGGAGAACACTGAGCAGAAGGGCGGCAATGCGAAGCAGGTTGAGATCGCCAACTAAGCTTCCATACACGGTACTTTGGGTCAACGTACCACTATGGATTTAATTGGAGAATTGAGGTGTTTGGAGCGCTGTATAAGAAGATGATTTGCAACTTTATATTGGTCCATTAGGTTACTGCCAGGGACATTATGTTTCGATCCGGATTAGCACTTATCGATACATTAACTATGGCTTGAGTGTTTCCAGTCGATCCATCTGCCACTATGATATCTTCATGCCTTAATAACGCACAAGAGATCGTGCCAAGTCGTCGGAAATATGATGATTCAAACAGTGATCGAATATCCGTGGTTGGTCTTAACTTATCCGCATTAAGCTTAATGACCGGACCATGACAAGGTCCAGGACCAGGAGATTTCCCGTTGTTATGCCGGCATAACGAGGTTGTAATCGGGGAGTAGCGGAGTTACGCTAAACAGCGGAGAAGTTACTCCATCTCGGACTGCATTTAGCCGAAGTTGATGGATGATGTGAATCCCGATGCCTTCGTTTATTACCCTGCAACCTCCGCCCTTCTTACTTCCAATAGTCTTTGTTTCACACACCTTGTTACTTCTCTTCCAGAATCTTATCACTATGTCTCAGTCAAAACCAACCCTGCGATGGGGCATCATCGGCACTGGTCTGATCTCATCATGGTTCATCCAGGACCTCCTCATTGAGAGAAAGGATGCCCAAGCAACACATCACATACAAGCCATTGGATCGTCTTCGGTTGAAAAGGGCACAAAGTTTGTTGAGACACATATGCCAGGGCAGACTCAACTTCCATCCATCTATGGAAGCTATCAGCAAGCTTACCAAGATCCCAATGTTGATATTATCTACATCGGAACTCCTCATGGCTTTCACAAGAAGAACTGCCTCGATGCAATTTCGCACGGAAAGCATGTTTTATGCGAAAAAGCATTTACTCTCAACGCCAGAGAGGCAAGAGAGGTTCTGGATGCAGCCAAGAAGAAGGGAGTTTTTATCATGGAGGCTATGTGGACGCGCTTCTTTCCTCTGGTTAAATCTCTCCAGAAGATCATCCATGAGGACAAGGCTGTTGGCGATGTCGTTCGAGTGTTCGCAGACTTTGCCATGAACCAGAACATCGAATCAAAGGGTCCCGATTCAAGACTAAAAGACCTATCTCTTGGTGCTGGCAGCCTGTTGGATATTGGCATCTACAGTCTGACATGGGGCCTTGTGACCCTCGATGCAGGTGTAGGTGAAAAAGCCACTACACCAAAGATCACTGCCGCTCAAACTCTCGTCGATGGTGTCGACATCGGCACATCAATCATCCTCTTATATCCCGATGGAAAGCAGGGTATCTTGACCTCCAACTCAAAGGTCAAAACCCCAGAGGCTTTCTGCCGCGTTGAAGGTACCAAGTGCCATATCATTGTAGAAGGATTCGCGGGTTCAGTCCCTGCATCATTCACTGTTTACAAGGACGGAGAGACTGAGGGGAAGAAGTATGAGTTTGAGAGACCTGGCAAGGGATTTTACTGGGAAGCTGATGCGGTGGCTTTGGATATTGCTGCTGGTAAGGTTGAGAATGATACTATGCCGTGGGCTGAGACTATTCGCGTCATGGAGATTATGGATGAGGTTAGAAGACAAGGAGGAGCTAAGTTTCCTCAGGACTAGATAGATAGGAATGATATATGCATTCGCTGATGACACAAGAAGAGACTGCTAAAGCAAAGATCAAGCGATAGGCCTTTTTTTAAGTTCTAAGACTAGAGCACAATCTGGAACTAATACTTAGAAGAGCATAAATTACTTGGTGAAATATCATAGCCTTGATCTGTTAATCACATATTACCCAGTAACATCATAACATGAGGCCTAAGAGAAGGACTTTTAAC